GATTTGAACAGATGATCGTTTCCAATGATGTTCATCATCATCATCAGTAGATGCATTCGAGCAGAGCTAACTATTTGTTTTGCTACTTTTCTTCTTTTGTTGGAAACACAAGACAATAGCAGAAAGGTTATTTATCTACCGCCCATGTTATTATTTATGGCCAGAGTCTCGTTCTAATTAGAGAATCGAAAAGTGTCGAACGAAAAATGCATCACGTAAAATGCAGGTGAGCGAATAATTATCAAGTTCCGGTCACAAAGTTTTCACAGTGTACAAATTATAAAAAAAAGGAAGGCGATCAATGAAACATAAAAAACCCGCACACACAGGAAATCAACATTGAAGTGTGATGTTAACTGTAAATCGCATCATCAGTTTTTTTTTCGTTTGAACGCGCTTTACAAACAAAAGAAGTAATGCTCGTGGATATGTAGCTAGCGATTAAGTGAAAGAAAAAAAGGCAGGTGACACATCTTAAAACAGGCGTCTATTGAGAAACACTTTAACAGGACAATGTTGTTATTCAAGGTGATTTAATTCGTTTTATTTTGAATGTTACAATATGCAAAGGTTGATCAACCTTTTAAATGAGTCTAACTGTATTGGTGGTATTCGATAATTACATTATGGTCTTACATATTCAGTCTAGTGACTATTTGACTATTGTTCAGTCTTTTTTTCGGTAAAAGAAATTAATTGTAGAGATTTGATTACATTTTCAATGAGATTAGGCATGAAATAATTAGTTCTGCTCGCTAATATTCCATTGTTTTTTGATTTCTTAGAAAATGGTTCATGCAACCTATACATATGAGCTTCTCATTTTTCTGATCGAATGTTTCCATAGTAAAAATTGTTTCGTAGCATTTCTTCATTACAGTTTATGTCAGATATATCATATAACTTGCTGGTGTATTCGTCAGTCGATGACGTTGAAAAGAAAAGAAATTATTTTTAGAATTACCAAGACCAATACGAGCATAACCTCAAATGATTGATAAATATAGAACATGCTCATATTTAAATAAATGAATATATCCATAATGAAGAGAAAGAAAAATAAATAAATAATTGAGGTATATATTTGATATGGGGGTATTAGACAAGACTATCACTTTTTAAAAGTATTAAACTACAAGGATGTGAAACATTAAATGAGCCATTATGACCACGCCACATGGCATATAAGCAAGAATATGAGGAATGACAAGATAATATCTGATAACTTACAGAGAATGGCGTCATTACTTAATAATAGGCAATTTACATACGAAGAAAAGCTAATTGGAGTATATCTTTATCTCCAAAACGTAGATATTATAAAACAATTCGAAGCCACGCTTTAGTCTTCTTCAATTATTAATAATAATAAATAATTGAATACTTTATAAAAGATTTTATGATGATCATTCATTAGTTATGGAACATAAAGATCATTTCATACTCGTCTTCTGTCAACTCATATGTGATTGCACCCTCAAGTTCACATTCATTCTGTGCGTAAGTTATGTTTAAAAAAATGTTTCAACAACTGATTGTTGTCTATTTTTGTAAACATCAAGATGCGAAAGGATATCAAATTTGAAATATATTAGATTAGAAAGAAATATTTCTGTAGGATCAATTTTACATGACGTAAAGACTTGAATAGCATTCAACTGTTAGAAAGCACAAGTGTGTCTCGAATAATTCAGAAATTGTATGTAAATCATGAAATTGATTCGAACTCGATTAATTTATTATTTTACGTGTAGAAAATGAGTCGCCGTACAATAAATTATAACTTGCTATATGTTTATTGAATAAATCTTTATTAAAATGTATATTGATGAAATGAGAAATATTCACATTGACTAGGAAACAAGAAAATACGTAGTACTAATATTTAGGAGGTGGTTATGATAATCGCAGGTATCAGAAAAATTCAAAATAAAATAATAATGTATTTGTTTCCGATATGAATTAAGAAACATATCTACAAAGTGATGATGGCAATTAAATATCTATAAATAATTGAAAAATAGTTTTTTCAAGTAACTATATATAAATATAATTACATCAATCTTTGGGGCGCGGGGGTGAATGAAAGGAGGAAGTACATCTACACATGCACCCCCATTCCAAGCGATTAGATTATACCTCTGAAAATAGTTTGCATATAATAGTAGAGCTGATAAACGACCACCAGGTGACTGCACATATGTCATCAAAAAGCAAAAATGAAAAAAGATGAATATGCAAGGTAATGCTGATGTTTCATAGACAAATAAATGTTGAACACATATCTCTTTTTTCAAATTTTTAATTGATATAGAAATTGAATCGAAGAAAAAGAAAATCTAATTTAATTGTTTAAATAAAAGATAATGAAGATAAAGAAAATTTTTTTTTGAAAATTTGAATAAAAATAAATGGTGATAATCAGATATGAAATCTAGCTATAAAGGCATTTGAATGTTTCAAAAGCGCATTAAAAAAAGAAAAATAATTAAAATAAAATCATTCGATAATGTTTTCTGTCTGAATTGGATAAAAATAGATAAATTGATCGAATAACAATAAAATACATTTGTTATTAATGCAATCATATTCTTCAAGATAACTAGTCTATTTATATATATATGTATACATATTGTACTGCAAGGATTTACAAGTTTTTCGTTTTCCAATAAAATAGTCAAAATGATTCTCGTTTTCTTGCTTTTAGAAGATGACTTTATTTTGCTTTGTAATACATTTGATCATCGGAAGTTCTAACAGAGAACTTGCACAAAATATTTCTATACCTGTTTTAAAACAAATCCCAATGCTATCTAGCCAAAGATTACGTGGAAGATAATTCATAAACATAGCTAATTGATATTAACGATATGTCTATGATGAATACTGTTTGTCTAAATTGACTTCTACTGACGTATGATATTATTAATTGAATAGAAATTAGTAGAGATAGAGCAAACTACTGCATTGTATAAGAAAACATGTGCCTTCTTCATCAATACCAACTAAGGTCACTGCAGCAATTCCTGTACCTGTTGCAAATTATCAGCTGCTGTATGAGTATCTGTAGAGAACAAAATATCTATTATAGATCATAATCAATCTCTTATCTAAGCAGCCTTTAAAATCAACTTAAAATACTAGGTAATGAATTCAAATGAAAATATCGATCAAAATTTCAAAAAAAAATTTGCTGTATGAAAAAGATCGTGGAAAGCTACTTAGAGCTAATAAGTATTGTATCAGAATAGCTTAACATATTATATAGTTTATTTCAACAACATTGCATTCTTTTAGAAGATTATAAACTGAATGAATAATTGTACTAAATATTTTGTTCACATTAATTGATAATACTTCTTCAACAACAGAAACCGCTTTAGAATAGATCTGTAGAATTACAGATTCCTCTTTTTTCTCTTTTTTTCCTTAAAAAACAAAATATATATATATATAGGTAAGGAAACGTGATACAAAAAAAAACAAAATGGAACGATACAGCAAAGTAGATTGAAGTTCAATTGAAAAGAAAGATTTGACATAAAAAAAAAAGAATGACTGTTTATTGGTTCTATGAAACAAGAACATAGACTTATTAAAAATATGCAGATGTATATATCATTGACTTTTTTCAAATTAAATATAAATATTGCACTTGTTATTAAAAAACAAACATCATGCCATCGAAAAATAACACCATTCATTTCACTGTTTTAAGAAATACAAAAATATGAATAGGATTAAAAAGAAGCTTTTCTTTTTCGTTACACCAAAATATACGAATTAGCTAAAAATTTCGTTAACTACTAACTAAAACCAGGTGGCGGCGAACCGACATCGACATAAATATGTGTAAATAATGGATAGGCCGTAATAGAAGTTAAATTATATCGAGCTGATGATACACCATCCCATGTATAACGTTTAGCTGCTGAATAAAGTAATTTAGCTCTAGAAAGAAAAAGGAAATATAAGAGTCAAAACTGAATTTCAGTACTAAAATCAATATCGAATTTCAAGTATTCTGTTTTAGATTAGCTGAAGTAAAAAGAAAAATGTTCTTCTTTTTTATGAAAAATATTAGTGGTTCATAGATTTGAAATTAATTCATAGAAGTAGATATCCTGTGAATGTTACAGCATTAAACGTTTTAGTTTATATATTAAGATTAAAAGTCATAGACTAAGATTAATGTGCCATTTAATTCCGTCAATTTTCAAGACCTCTATAATCTACGTATATTTATATCATTCAACAGAAGCGTTAGCATTTTGAAGGTATTTTCTCGTTTGAATCAGTCCGTCGCATCTATCAGCAGTGGAATGAATAAATAAACAAGTTTAGAGTAAAAATCTTAAAATCTTTTCATAATGAAATAAAAATGGATCATTTTCTGTTATGCTACTGTTTTAATGCATGCCTTTTTGTAGATATCTTAGCTCTATCTATCCTTGATAAAACAAGTCTTTTCAGATTTATCCACATATATGTATAATTGGTGTCGATCAAATTTGAATAGTTTCAAAAAACTAATAATTATCTCTAGTCTATATCGTGATTTCTACTGATAGAATGTTTTTTTTTCAATACTTATTTCCAAAGAATGGTATCTATTTTAAAAGACCTTTTTCTTCGCTTAAATACTTGTTTAACATATGAATAATCCTTTAAAACATCAAAATGGTTGCTAAGCGAAAAATAAAAACAATCCCATTCCTATATTAACTTTTGTATTAAGAAAAATCTTCTAAAAAATACATACCGTTTATTCCATATAGATGGTGTACGTTTTTTATGTTGAAGCATTTTATATCGAGCTATAGATGATGGTGGACGAAGTACTTTCAAAGAAACTTCTTTCAATCTAGACATTAGAAATTGTGTGTAATCGCTTAATTGAAAATAAATTCGTTTACCTATAATACAAATCATCATCTTCAGCTCCCCAACCCCAATAAAGATTACTATAACCATTGACTGTTAAAAAATGTTCCGTACGTATATTCAATACACCACCAATAAGTTCTTCATAACTCAATCTAAAGTATAGTAAAACATTACCTAAGCAATAATCGATAATCTATCATTTTTCTTACTTATAATTCATTTCATTCACAGCAGCAGACATATGTCTTGGGAAAACCGGACACGAGTACATATTTCTATCATCCTCTGGTATTAAATCAACATCATGAAAGACGAAACATTGAAAGTCATATTCATTCGATGCATATATAAAAGCAGCGTTCATTAAAATACCTTTATTGTATGTTCCATTTCCAATTTGTTCAGACACATAAATTTTATAATCAAGTTCTTGCCGTTGTAATATTGGATGTAAATAATAAAGTAATGTTATTAAATGTTCTAATCGATCTCTATATGGAATGATGATTGCAACCTAAATGAAATCGAATAGTTTATTAAAAAGTTGCATTTTCAAATTTTCGATGTATCATTAAATGCATAGAGAAAAAAAGATTTTTAAATCAAAACTGATGATAATAATTTTTATATGTACAACAGATATGTCATTGAATTGGTCAAATGAATATTAATTATGTTACCTTATGACGAGCTAGACAATTCGATGGTGACCATTGACCACCAAATCTAATATTAGAATAGTTCATTTCCATTTCATAGAGAGAAATATTCGGAAATGTGGAGTTTTCATCAAGAATTCGACCTTCTACAGAAAATAAAACAAACAAGTATACTACAGAACACTATTTCTCATTTAATATAAACATACTTAATTGACTAGGTTGTTCATTACAATGATTTCTTCTTTTATGATTATTGTTATCATCATAGTTTTGTTTTTTTCGTTTCCATCGAGATGAATAATTATTGTTATCATCAGTCAGTTGTTCATATCCATTTTGTGTGTGTTTTATATTCTTGATTGAATGCGAAGTATAATTTTCTTGTTTTAATATTTCATTAGATTCATTGATATTATTTGTTACATGAAAATGCATCTTTGTTTGATGTAAATGTTCTATTGTTGAATGACTTTGATTATTAAATAGATCAAATAAATATTCAAAACGATAGAGATGTGTTTGAATATGAAATAAAAGACGCCATTTATTTATTGGTAAAACATTATCATGTAGCATTGTTTCCATACTTTCATCCATTTTTTTAAGTTCTTCTTGTAGTTTTTGCATTGTAGAAAAATTATTTCCGTAACGTGACGTATGAACAACCAGAATTTGTGATATTATAATTACAATTAGAAAAAGAAAAAATATTAAAATTAGAATTGGTGGAATGTCACGACGAGCGAAATTTGATGATACTGGTTCATGTGTATAACGATATAATTGGTATGAAGAACGCGATGTATGTTGTTGTTGTTCACTTACTCTATCAAGATCATTTAGAGAGTTTGTCAGTGATTGATAATCGGTATGCATCGGTGAAATTCTTCCGAGAATTTTATCTACGTTGCAAAATACTCTAGCCACATAATGAAGATAATAAATAAAATTAGTTTGATGCCGTTAATCTAGAATACAATAGAGGTAGTTTATATGTGATAAAAACTTTAACAGTATTTATAGTCTATGGGGGTATGTAGATAGTTTTCATCGCTGTTCTGTCGATTACATCAATCGTTCTCTTCTTCACTCGTACTATGATAACTATTTCAACCAAACTTTTCTCTCGAGAACATCTATTTCTTATTGTCATTCAAACTCGCAAAATTATTGATTCGTTGTAAACTTTAGAAAAAGCACAAACAAAACATAAAATGCATATGGAGTTAAAATAGTATTGTTGAAAGCTATGTTTCTCTTCTTTCCTTTTTATCGCTTATTCTTTCATTCTTCTCATTTCGTGTCTTTTACTTCCTGATCTTTTCTCTCAGGAAATGCTCGTTTCGCCTCATTGTTTTTGTATGATGACAAAGCAAGAGAAAAAATATACCGAGATGACATGAAAGAAATTAGACTTTTCTTTCATAGACGGAAAGCATAATTGAGCGTTTGCATCTATAAGTCCCTTCTGTGACATACAAAAATGTCAATACTATGGCAATAATATTTAGCTCGGAGACAGATGAATAAATAAATATCGATTAAGAAATCAGGCAGTACATGCGATAAAATCATTCAGCAAGTAAAACTAAGGAAAAGTGATTGGAACTGATTTTATTAAGAAATATTCTACTAAAGACTTTCATAGAAATCAATTGGGTGAAGCAAAAAAAACTCTACTGGATGTATGATGAATAAAGAATGATCGAACAATATGTTAACCGTTCATGTAATTAATATGAAATGAAATTGTATCATTATCATATTTATTTTTGTTTCTTTTTAACAGAGAAGTTTTGTGTTGCATAACCAGTTGCTGGCACGCTTGAACTTCCATAAGTACTTGCTGATATACGATTTATATAAAAAAGTGCGATTAATGAGAAGATTAAACTAAAATAAAAACAAATTAGAATAAATAAAATTTTGAATTAAAAAAAAAGCTTATTAAGTCAATTTGATTACATTTTTTTTATCATAAACTGATGGAAGATATTGTGCTTAACATTCTTTACTGTTTTCTCTTGAGAATCGTTAAGATTTTTCAAGTACATTTCACGTCAAATTTGACATAAGCACTCTCATCTATTATCTTAGTCAAATTTACTCAGTTCGTATTCTAAGAACTCAATATCAATACAATTTTAAGATGATGAAATCTATTCTAGATGACAACAAACTACATATTCGCTCGATAACACATAAGTTCAATGTATTTGATTTAAATAAATATAACTGGAAAAGTAGATGTACGAATGCCTATATTAGGACAAGTTCTATATTTAATGACGATCAATTTAGATTAAGATTACTTTTTAGCACGATATTTATTTAAATATAAACCGATGTGCTTGTTTTTCTTTACAATCATCAAGATAATCGATCGCCATTATGATCAATTAATGCTCTATTAATAGTGATGTTACTTTTGATGACGCATAATCGTCATAAATATCTGCAAATATTGCTCTCAATATCGTTTGCTTCTTACAAATATAATTGCCTGTACTTATTTAGAATGATACAGCTGCAGATAGTTTTTCCTGTATATAGAACACATTATGTGATGTGGATGTCTCATAAAAACAGAATAGTGACATCTGTTCGCAAAAAAACAAAATATCAGTACTTAAAATAATAACCTATTATCAGGATACTTTTTATTTGAGCTGCTACAAGATTAGTATTAACTGATCGCCAACATATATTAATTGCAAATCTTTGCTATCCATGCCGACTAGCATGCCCTTGAAGCATTATTTTTTTCTTCATAGGGTCGCACCTCAGGGGTTGTATACTTAAATTCGCCTGGTAATTTGATAATGATGATATCATTAAAACATTTTCACTGATAAAATATAATATGAATATTTCACAAAAAAATCCCTTATTATTATTATTATTATTAAGTCGAATATCTGAGATACTAATTTTCAGTTCTTTTTTTCGTACTATAATTAGTCTATAACTTACCAAGTTGTTACACAGACACGATGAACACATGCACAACATATCATTGACACAAATAAACAAATAAAAACTGAAATAAAAATTATTTTTTCATAAAAAAATTTTTAATTTCCCTTGAATTAAACTGTTTAACCTTCAGGAAAAACTCGTGCTTGATAAGTCGGTCCAAACGTATTCATTTCAAAATTACTTAAAGCCTTGAGAAACAAAACAAAAAAAAGATTTACGTCCAACTTTAAAGTTGAATTTTTTCATTCCTCATACCGTTAAAAGCGATACAAAAACCATTGAACCAATAAAACCACCAGCAATAGTCATCGGTTGGCTTGATGCAAGTTGACTACGAAACAATTGCATTGATGCAAATAAGAGTAAACTAATGAGAAGTGATATAAGAAACGATGAAGCATTTGATGCAGCTAAACAAATTTTAGAAAATAGTCCTCATCATCATCATTTTTTCTAATTTTGATTCTTTTAGACTTACCCATATCTGCTATAAACACAAGTTTGTTTAGAACACAGATAGTCGTAGTCGATCTATAAAATATCTAAAAAGAAACATTTGTTTTTAGTTTCATTGTGCAATGACCTAAAAATTGAAATGGTTTCTAAAATCAAATTTCTCAATATGAAATTACTAATTTACTGAATTCAAGAAATATTTTAGCAGACCTACGAATTACTATTTCAAATAAATTTTTGAAATTTCTTATTTATCTACTATTAAATGAACAAAGATTCAAGTCATAGCATAATGAAACATTTTCTTCGTCGAAAATTCTTCGTTATTACTTGTATTCATATAAAATTGTTTCTTTCTGTTAGTTTTTAATGATGATAACGATGCACCAATGATCAGCGGCAGAAAAATTTTTAATATTATATAAGAGAGTGTAAGAAGACTTAGAAATATTTAATTAATCGTCGTCTATTTTTCTCTTTATGTTGATATACCTATATCAATAAGATTGCTTTAACTTCAATAATATCTAAAATAGACGAAGAATCATTCAAGCAATTATAAAGAATGTGTATTTATGTAGCATAAAAGATTGAGAGTTACCAATGAATCATAGAACCATACTTTAGTCGACGACTCAAAATAGATGCATCAATAACTTTTATTAACAAACTTTCTAACTTATTCTAATTGAACATAGTTCGTCTAAAAATATATGAATATGAAATTAGTTTTTAATTTATGAAACGCTGTCGACTTTGTTTCGCTGATTCCATCAACCAATAGGATAATTCAACGAATCAAACAATTTCTGTTTTCTTTCTTCAATAATTATATATAATAGTTAACATTTAGCTTTCAAAAAATCAATAATCTTTGTAATTCTGTTAAAGACTTGTCTTTATTTTTATTGATTTCAATGAAATAAATTTTAACCTGAATTTATTTATTCATATATTTAACTATTTGTCAATAAATCAATACTGCTTGCATCTAATATCTCATTTTACTTCCGAGTTATTTCTATTCAGTGAAAGATGAATTTTGTTGATCTTTTTCTATGGAATAAATCGAATGGGAAAAGTTGATAGACCCTATTCAAAGTAGTTGATTCAATTTTCTTCGTCTTAGAGAAAACTTAATTGGATTTTTCTTCTTAAAACTTCGAATGAACATGTGTCTCTCTTTAAATCTCACATTCATTCACTGAATATAAGGTCTACTATAAAAAAAAACTGTCTTTTATAAAGGATACAAAGAAAAGAACTGAAGATATGTTTTCAGAAACAAATTCTATCTGTTCTTTTACTTAGAAAATTCAGTTCGTAGAAAATGTATTCATGGATTTTTTACTTCAGTTTTTATTTATAATAATATATTTCATCATCATTTTCTATTTGGTGCTTATTTTAAACAAAAAAATGCGAACAATGACTAACTTTAAAAATCATTTTATTATTCATTTAACGTTTTAGAGAAATACTTCAAGATACGTGTATCATTATTCAAAATTTCTTTCTTCATAAGTAATTTTATAAAATCAAATGTCAGATCATGATAAAGGAAATCATAGCTTGTTAAAAGCTGAAACCGTAGCACCACCAGCGAAGAAATGCACAATAGATGCATCAGCATCTGACACGATGAAAGCTACAACGCCACAGTCACGATCATCACCAAAGAAGCCTGAGATACCAACACGAGAATTGTCAAAGTTAGCAGTAAAACATCCATCGACAGACGATGCTGTGAGTTTTGTGATTGAATGTATACTTAGATAAATTGTTCATTGTTTCAAATCATCATATAAGTTTGGAATATCATCAAAGAATTTGAAGCACATATCAGAAATCATCTTCAATAAGCCTCGATCACTAGATGCAGCTTCAGGTGTTCCGAATGAAGAGAACATAGATACGAATCATCATAATCAGAATGAAACAGAAAAAGTGAAGATGACATCACCAAAAGAAAAAAAAGGTTAATAAACAAACAAATAGATAAAAATTAAAGTTCATGAACACTACTATGTTACTTAGAAACAGAAATATGTACTATATGTTTGGATGATTGTACTGAACCAAAAGAACTTGATAGATGTGGTCATGTGTTTTGTTCTACTTGTATTGATCAATATTTTCAATCAGTTAAGCCTCAATGTCCATGTTGTTTTACTATCTATGGTGAAATTCGAGGTAGAGAAATATGTTTAATTCTTTATATTCTCTAAAAATTTATGTTTGAACTATAGGAAATCAACCAGACAACGGCACAATGAAAATTAATATCGTGAAGCGTCGTTTGCCAGGATTTGAACATGATTCATACGCTACTATTGAAATCACTTATCACTTTCCTGATGGTACACAGAATGTAAGTTTTTATTGAATATAAACCAAAACCGCTGTAAATATTTGACTGTTTCTGTATCTTTTTTTCTTCAGGAGAAACATCCAAATCCAGGTATGCCGTATTATGGAACAACTCGTGTTGCTTATTTACCTGACAATTCTGATGGCCGTCGTATACTTAAATTGTTGAAGAAAGCTTTTGAACTTCGTCAAATATTTACTGTGGGTCAATCGCGAACAACAGGCCGTGAGAATGTTCTTACTTGGAATGATATTCATCATAAAACAAGTTTTGCCGGAGGAATGGAACGGTAAGTCGATTTAGTGCTTATCATACTAGAAAGACCAAATATTATTTTCTTCTCGAGCTCTAAAGCTGAAATAGTTATAAATTGATATGAAAAGAAATCGATGAACAATCATGTATACATTTTATTTTTAACCGAATGAAAACATTTGATCCTGAAGTATACAAATCAAATTTATTTATTATATTGATATTCTTTTTCTGTGTTTTTTGTTTTGTTTTGATGAATTACTAATTATCTTCTTCTTTGTAGATTTGGCTATCCAGACGATACATACATTAATCGGTAACATAATTATTTGAAAAAAGTTTATTCAATCAATTAATTATTGTTCATTTTGATATCTAGAGTTCTACAAGAACTGGCAGCCAAAGGAATTCAATGAAACATTTCAACATTTATTTAAAAATATTAAATGAACTGTATAATCTATCGCAGAGAATGACGTGTATTAAATTTTCTTTTCTTTTTATTATTATCAATTCCTTAGGTAGTACAAAAGTTAATAAGTTTTAAACAACAATAACAAACAAAAAATTTTCTTTTTTGCATACTTGTGTCATTTTCATCGGAAACTCTTATTGTAGATAGATAATAAGTTATTCAATACACTTTGATACTTTCAGTTCGTGCGAATGAGAATTCATTGAGAATAATCCTAATATATCATAGAATAGAAGCTATAGAAGTGTCACACACTGTTTTCTTACTAAAATGTGTTTTTATTCTAATAACATCGATCTTTGATAAATGAATCATCTTATGTAGAATTTGCGTAGTTTTTGTTTCGAATGACTTTAAAAACAATAACCATTCAGCATTCTAAATAACACTAAAACTAGTTAAAACTCTCACTAGTTTAAGAATGCATGACACCTATTAGTACATTTCCCACCTAATTCTCATTCTCTAAGACTAGTGACGTTCTGTTTTGCCCATGAGCTATGAACAGAATCAAATAGAAAATAAATTTACAATAGCAGACACAAGTAATAAAAAAGAAATTTGTCGTTTATTTTGATTCGAAAGATTTATAAGCGATTGTCTATCTTTTTTTTTCTATTACGATAATCAATTCAAGTGTATATCGTAGTGCTTATTTTTCCGGTGTTGATATGAGGTTTCAGTTTTTTCTTGCGAAATGATATGTTTCTTTTATGCATTTTCTTTATTTTTCTAATAAATGTAGATGACATTTACAGCAGATAAAATTGATGATAATGGCCTTTGGCTAGGCGATATAACTGCATCGGAAAATACACAAGCTCTCGATGAACATCGAATTTCTCATATTTTAACTATTCTTGATTATGAACCAACTCATATGGATAAAAATCGAACATATTTATACGTTCATGCCTACGATATACAATCAACAGATTTACTAACATATGAATTTAAAAAATGTTTTGAATTTATTGATACAGCTATAGAACACAACCATCAAGTATTGATCCATTGTCAAGCAGGTAAATCACGTTCAGCAACAATTGCTGCTATGTATTTAATGCATAAATATTCTTTAACACGTGAACAAGCAATTCAAAAAATTATCAATAAACGACGCTATTGGCCAGTGATGCCAAATGATGGATTTCTACGACAACTTGATTTATATTATCAAATGAATTATAAAGTTGATATTGAAAATGAACTTTATAAAGAATTTCAACGTCAAAGATTCGATAGAATTGAACCAATTTCAACAAACAACATTAGCAACACGAATAGATCAATTTTATTGCTAGAAAATGAAAACGACCGACAGTATACATGTCGAACGTGTCATTTTAAATTATTTACTAATAACGATATTGAACGACATGAAAAAGAGCCAACTATTATTTGTAATGATATTGAAAAAATTTTCACGTATTTTCTTGATTGGATTGATGATATCTTTGCAAACTCTGTTGGTACAATATGTTGTCCAAGTTGTAAAATTAATTTAGGTGAATATTCACTACAGGGTATACGATGTAATTGTCATCAATGGATAAAGCCTGCTTTTGTATTTAACTGTCAATCGATCGAATAAAAATAAATAGATTTTAAAAGAAAATATTATATCTTTAATTTTATGCTTGTACACCTTGACTTATTACAGAATAACGGATAAGAATTTTTAATTATCTTTTCCTGTTCTAACTATTGCATAACGATAACAAACGAAATTCCTCTTGTCGTGCTCGAAGAGTCTTTTGAGACATAAAAAAGTGAAAGAATGTTTCTCTTGTTTTGCTTTATCGGATGACTAGTATTTGCTAATGTCTTAACTTTTGCCTCATCTTTTGGGACCGATGATGTTAAACAATCTCGTTCGTCTCCCTGTTTCTCTTTATCGCTCTCTATGATCATTTTATCATAAATACTAAATTCTAGCCGTTTGTGCGCGTGCTTGCTAAAGAAAATCGTATTGATCGAATGTTTACATTCATGTGAATATTTCACGGCCATCATCATTCTCTTATTTTATATTTGAAGAACACGACAAAGAGACAATTTTGATAAGTGAGTGACGTGATTTTGTGTCACCGATTATCGTCATATGTACTTTCTTTTATCTTTGTAAGAAATGATTATGATCAGTTAAAGAACAATGGACACAAGATCTCGCATGTATTATTATTGATGAAACAATATATATATATTTAATTAATTGTTTAATTGTTCTTATAGGAGTGGGCCTTATACTGATGCAACAGGTGAATATGTTCGAAATGGTGGCCGATATGCTTTGGCGACAGCTGTACTTGATAGTATCGTGCTTGTATTTGCAATTGTTATAGCATTTCTGCTTCGGTTAGTATAAATGAAAACTGATTAATAAATTAATAAATTAATAAAATTGCTAGAGCATCGGATATATTTCCTGTTCGACAACAACGTTTTTTATGTGATGATGCTCGTTATTATCAATCCTATGAAGACGCTAATACAGAACGAAATTATATTATACTTTCAAATGTTACGCTCTATATTATTTGTTTAACTGTTCCAATTGTTGTTGTAAGATGAAATAAAAATCATTTTCAAAAACCAAAAAATTGCCTATGTTTTTCTTTTTTGTTTCATTTTAGGTTTCAATAATTGAACTGATTCGTTCATTTATATCATATAGTGCTTATCGAACACGTTTTGTTATTCGATTTAAAGATTGTCTTATTCAATCGTTGGCTCGTATTCTTAAATATATTTGTATGTTTACTAATCGTTTATTTTTCTTCTCGTTTAAAATTAAAATTTATTTTCAGCTGTATTTACCTTTGGTGCATTGGCAACAACTGTTCTTACAGATATTTTAAAAATTATGTCAGGTCGTTTGAGACCTTACTTTTTAACTTTATGTAATCCGGATCAAAAATCATGTAATGGAATGGGTATGTTCAGCAAAAATTCATTTGTATTATATAACTATTGCTTTGTCGTAGGTTTAACTGATGCTGAATTTGTATGTCTTTCTAAGAATATGACTGGATTATTACGCGAAGCTCGGTATTGTAAAAAAAAAAGATTCTTCATTGATTATATTAGTTCCGTTTATTTAGACTTTCTTTTCCATCATTACATGCATCGTTATCAATGTATAGTGCAATGTTTCTTGCGGTATACCATTAGTCTAGCTCATTATAATTATTATATTGTAAATTTTCTTTTTTTATATTTCATAACTAGATCTATCTTCATCGTGAAATACGCATTGAACGTGTTCGAATTGTTAAACCGTTTCTTATTTTATCAATAATTACATTATCGGTTGTAGCCGGTGGTGTTCGACTTGCAAGTAATAAAAATCACTGGGAAGATGTTGCATTTGGATTTGCATTAGGAGCTATTATGGCCACTTATCTAGTAAAAGACCCCTAATTTATATTAAAAAGATTCATTTCTTATAATCATAGTCAAAAACTTTACGATCACCAAAACCATTTGTTGGCGCATCCACTGCAAGGGCTGCTAATTATGATGATTATCAAAGTTATGTCGAAGAACAAGCTCCATACAATAAAGAAGTCAATTTTTCTAATTAAATTTTGTTTGTTTTTCAATCTAACTCGTCTATAGGCGGATGCTACATACGCTCCTGCTATGGAAGCTGTTTATCAAACAACTGGCCATAGTATCAGTGGTCCTGAACAATTTTCATTACAACCAAGTGCATCTCAAGGTAAATACTGTCTTTTTTTTTGTTTTGCATGGTTTACATTCTTTTTCGATATATATGTATAATATTATAAGGTCATATAGCTGGTGGTTTCGCACGTCATCGTTATGATCTTAAAACTCAGATGCAGCAGCAACAACAACAACAACAACAAGCGGCTGCTCAAGCTGCTCAACAAATACCAATAGATAAAACGGTTCCTGTTGTGGGACGCGGAGAAGCATCAAATGGTGTTGTGCAACAGCTCGTTCATCAAATTCAACATCAACCGCATACATCAACAAGTAGTCAACGTGCTAGTACATCAATGAGTGCACTAAGATAAAATATTATGATATTAATAGTGAAAATTACATTATCAATATTTTATTTGAACATAGTTTTTTCTTGGTTTTGTTTGAATTCTTTTCTTATGCACTCAGGGAGCTTTGAAATCACATAGATAGAATTTTTTCTTTGCTGCTTTTTTGTGTTTTGAAATGAATAATTTTACATTGAGAAAAAAATAGCTTTCTCATATTATTATTCAATCGATGTTCTAATCGTTTTCATCATCTATTTCTTGCTCAATTTCCTTTTTTTTTCGAATTATATAATTGTTTACTTCTTTTTATTATGAAGTTCTTCTCAATGACCTTTTTTATTTACATAATTGTCCGTCATTGAAACTTTCTCTTAAGAGTCACAATTATTTGACTCAATGCTTCGAAGAATAAATTGAGTAACATTCTTTTGTCGTCGTTTAATGATCTATGTTCATAATCTGTGTACACGAAATAAAAGCAAGAGTTCATGAACTTTAACTTGATGATTTTCAAATTTCTATTCACATGCATTATCGTAGTTTGCAATTTATACAGATATATTTGTGTAGATCAATAAAATACATAAAATGATTATTACCTACATTGGTAGAAGTTTTCTTTTTATCTCAGTTTGTAAGCACGATTGAAATAATATGGTTATAATGATGATACACACCGAAAAGATCTTTTATCGTTCACTTATCTTATATTCAAAATTATTTATTAAATCGCACCTTATGTATTAGTGATCGAATCTATATCCGGCTTTTTGTTTTCAAGTCAATCGATGCTGTCAATCTTGTTTTTATTGTTTATGTGATCATGTCAATACTCAAATATTATAGGTTAGCAAATTCTTTGAAAATAAGATCAAATTTTCTATGACGATTTCATTGGTTTCCGTAGTTTTTTAAATTTTTGTTCAAACAAAAATGGTCAAATCAATATTTTAATAAAAGAATGAATATATAAATATTTTCGATTTTAGATAGAATAGTCATCAATAATAATCAGTTGACTAACTTTATGAAATATATATTGTGATTCGTCATTTCATACGGGTATTTGTAATTGAAAAAAATTTTGAAGAAATTAATGAGCTAACAAAAAACTTTTCAACACACAAGTATAGTATGATAGAATGTTGACATTTCGCTTTATCAAGAAAAATACAGTTTAGCTTATGAAATCATCTTATTGCGCAGGTTAAAATTGAAAGAAAAATATTTTCGAAAGTCCACCTAGGTTGTGTATACACACAAACTAGCTAACCGAAATGGATGATGATTTTGAAACCTTCTCACATCTGCTTTATTTCTGTTTTTACTGTAAGCAATAAATGATTTCAATATTATTTTAAGAAAAACTTATTCGAACTGAATAAATAGAATTCTAAAAATTCATAATTACTGAATACCATCATGTACTAACTTGCATTAAAAAAAACTTTCTATCTCTCCAATGAAATTTTCTATTAATAAATATTGATCAATTTTAGTAACATCTAGTTATAAAGAAAACTGAGAAAGTTTTATCTTAAAATGCTCAAATCGAAATATTGCCGTTTACGTTCAGTAATAGTCATTATATTGATTCATTTCAAATCAGGAATAAATAGATCATAATTTGCATACGGCTGTCTACCTTTCTTTTTCTCAGTATTTTCCAACCAAAATTGAACTCTTAAACTGTTTGATTCTTGTTTAAAATCATTACTCTGATCGGATATCGTCGATGATTCATTGTAACTTTGTTGAATCGCTGTTGATTTAGCTTTTTTGTAGTTCGAATTGAAAGTCCAACCCAGACCAAACAATATTAGAAGAAAATCAATAAAAGGCCAAAAAGACGACCGAGAAACCCAGTTTGCGTGACACGAGTATTTAGGGTCGAATCCATGACTGTAAACTGTTCAAAATAGCACCAATTTCGATTGGGAAGTAATCTTTTAAGAAATAATCTGGCTCCTTGTTCCGGATCTCGTTCAAAAGAATCTATCAATTTTTCTTCGGTATCAACAACTGGATACCATTTTGTACCAAAACAATGTGCAGCACATATAACTATTCTATGTGGTAGTCTATTAACAATGGCCGATGATATTATTTGATACATCAATTTGGAATCATTCAATGGTAATGGAATATGTTCTCCTTGAGTTTGAAGTCGACTAACACCACAACAATGAACATCACCACTGAAAAATGTTATTCTTGTTCTTTTCTTGCTGTGCAATTTTTTTCAGTCATATGTGCTTCATGTATCCATTCATCAAGAAGATCATTATAGCGTTCGGGGCAAACCGAAAACTGAATTCGTTTGTTCACTAAATGGTATGTTACGCCGCTTCAAAGTCAATTGTTTCCATGTTTCAAGAAATGATTCAGCCATTTTAAACCGTGCAAATGAAAATGGAACAGGAAATAGAACTATTAAATGTGCGACATTTTGTAGGTCATTGTCTAACTTTTCGAATATAATGTTTCGTGTTTTTTCGTTTTGCACTGTTTTTTTTATCACGTTCACTACGTCCATCAGCGCCTAAAGGAGCTAAATGTGAACCACATTGAGCAAGACAATTGTAGCCTTGATAGCCGAATAATCTATGTTTTCGAGCTTTCTCAGGTGTCGTATGATGTTGAAAGAGAAGTCGCATTTGTTGTCCTATTTCAAATAATCCCATCATAATTGGACTCTGATGAAGTAAAGGAAGATAAGATCCGGTGCCACCAAAAATAACATGGTCATCCCACATCATTAAACTTGGAATAGATCCTAATGCTTTTTTCATTTTTGGTCGACGTTCCCAATGTTCAGCATAATTATTAAAATAATATTGCTTAACTGCGTATTTTGATTCATCTGTAAATTCTAATGCCCATTTTTGATTCCATTCCATGCGAGTTCAATTGAGAAGAAATGGTACATCTTCAATAACAAAATCATTGTAATTCTGATCGCCGCCTCAGAGTAAAATATGAAATGGATTTTCTTCATGCATAGAAAGTAAATGATTCCACACAGTATTGTATGTTAACCCTAATGCAATTTCTTTTGAAATAGTAGCATCAAAGCCACTACAAGAGAAAAATGCTCCACGCCATTTTTGATTATATTGTGGAATACAGAATGACCCATTCATTAAACAAGCACCCCAATCAATCTTTTAATCGATATTTTCATCATCATTGCCATTTGGTAATTTAATGTTAAGATTTATTCGATAAGCTCGTATACTTAACAAATTTTCGTATAAAATCTCCCAATCATAAGCAATTTTGACTTCTGCAGTAAATTCAATTGTTGGTCGACGATATGAAATATGTCGAAATATTACAATACTTCCGATCCAAAACATATTTTCCAAATCAGTGGTAACAAATTGTAAGTATGGTCCCATTCTACATCCCGCTGGCTTCGGTGGACGTTTTACAACATACTCCATAGTTGCTTGAAGTAGATTATTATTTTCGACTGTATTATCATTATTCCACTCGTTTAGATTCTCCTTTCCAACATCTTGATTCATTATGAATAATACTAATGCCTAATCATATGATCTTTTATCTTTAACGAAATAGAAAATAAGTTGATTTATTTAATATTATACAACTATCGTAATGAAAGATAGCACAGGAATAATATAAATGTTTTTTTAAATAAAGTTCAGTGGAAAATATCGAATTTGATTTCATTTGACAAAAAATGAACTTCAAAAATAACTGAACCAACAATCAAATAAAATTGATCACCAACAACATGGAAACAAGAAGTCCTATGAACGATAATCCGTTTTTTAATCGAATTCTAGAAAAATATAATTGGTTGGTGTACCGATTTCTCAAGAAACGAACTGACTAATGAATGTAATTTTCCAAAAATGAACCAACCTAGATGATATTCAAGTTCCACTCGACTACGAAATGCGGTGCGAAGCACGCGGGCCGAATTTTCAAAAACATGCGGAATAATATAAAAAAATGAATGGTCAATTTCAGAGTTCATTAGAATCGTTTTTTCTTAATATCTACGAATTTTGAATTTATGTTTCACATTCACCATTCTTGAATCGGCCATTATGAAATTCATCACTAGGAGATCTCTTTGAAAATGTAACAACCAGTTTTCTAACGAGTTTTTTCATTGAACGACTATCTACTTTCATGCGTCATTATCCTGAATCATATGTAAAGCAATAGACTATAGTGACTAACATCTGTTGATGACGTCACTTTAATTATCTCGCAACAAATTTCTTTTCGCTATTTTGGAAAAAAATTTCTGAGAGAACAGAACTTCAGATTGAAGATTCGAAAACAGGTGTTATAAGTTCGATCTCGATACTTCCATCTGACGTTTTAACTATTTTTCTACGATTTTGTGTTCTCGAGATCATCGCGTCACAAAGCGACGAAAAAGATGCGTACGTCGAGAAAGCGAAAGCAAAAGAAAACACGCGACGGCCTACAAAAATGCTTCTGCTTCGGCATCGCATTAAAATCTCGCGACGGATTACATAAATGCTATGCTTAGCATCACATTAAAAAATGGCGACTTCGAAGCAACGCTATACAGTGCTTCGCACCGTAATTATAGAACTGTGAGTTATCACGGACCTAGTTCAAACTCACGGCCTATTGACTTAGACAGTAAAGCAGACAGAAAGAAAGAAAACGCACACCGATCAACATCAATGTGTTTTATTTAGTATCATAGTAAGAGAAAAAGGAACTAGAAAACTGAAACGTGCCTAACCAATATTACAATGTTTTGCAACAGAAAAATAGAAGAATAGAAACTCGTTAAGTGTTAAATAAATGCTGCTATGTATGTCAATGATAAAAGCGTTATCATAACTCTTTGAAACCGTTAGTAATAAGTTAATTTGACTCAAAATCGACTCTGTAGCAAGAGAGCATATTTGTCCAAGATTTTAAAAGTAATTATTTTTAATTCGTTCATTTGAACATAGGCTTTTTCGGATGTATTTAAATGTTAGTTTTTTTTATAACTCACCAATGACTTCTATAAGTATTTAATGAATAAGAAGAAAGAACATAATCAGAAATTTTCATGCAATGTATTTCAATGGGTCTCATAAATAGCATTTTAATAAACTACTTCACTTCGAAGTATCACATGGTTTTCAGAAGAACCATATAAAGTAATATTGTTCGACTGTTTTCTATTGTATTAATGCCAGAATCAATTCCTATATAATGATAACAAAATAAAATAAGGTTCCTTGATGAAAATAGGAATCATTTGTGTGCACTAAACTGAGGATCATGAGTTATGTGACATCATCTGTTCGTTTTTTCAAAGATTTACTTTTTTTTCAGAGCTTGATTTCTGTACACGCGACTTTTTTTTGTTTGACAAAAATCGAACGTGCCTGACAGCTCATTTTTTTATTAAATAAAAGTATCATTTTTTCTACCATTAATTGTAAGCATACGAAACGAGGTTTTTCCTGTTCTTTACTTACAAATCAAACATCTACTTGAAGCTCAAACTTGTTTTTCTCTATAAAAATCAGCATAAGATTAAGGAAAAATCATGAGCTAAAATTTATTCTCTGTAGGAGATGGTTACATGCAAAGTGTCGATTATTCTTTAGGGTGTTAGTGAAATAAATGAGCTCAGCATCAATGAGATGAAAATATGGGTGATTGTGAAATGATATGTGCACGAAACGACAGCGAATTGCTGTAGGTGACCTGAAAAATGACATTTACATATTATTTCACGCCTCCATTTATTCCGATCGATAATAGCAACTAGATATACATTAAAATCTTGGTAAAGATGAGGGTGGTTCAGGTTTTTGAAAATTTACTAAGAGTAACTGAAAATATTTGATATTTATTGCGAATCACTCGTCTTATTCCAAGCGATTCTCAACTGATTCATGTAGGTATATTTATTTTTACGCTTACCGCTTCGCATGTTTATACCTTGATTGAAAGGTTACGATTGTCAGAACGAACCAAATCGAATGCAACTTTGCTTCTTACAAATATGAAATCGATCTTTTATTGCCTTCAACTCCTTCAAACAGTGTTTTATAATATTTTGTTAGTGTTTCTTTAATAACGTAATTCTCTGGTCATCAAATATTTGTACTGTCAGTGTGAACCATTGCAACTGAAGGTTTTATACAACAGCAAGAGCTGAGATGATTTACTGGATAAAAATTATTTAATTGTCCGATTCAAAGTACTCGTCAGTTTTACAACTGTTGTATCACGCGATTCGCTTTACATAAACATTTATTTCAATAAACTAGACTTAGAAGTAATCACATCAGATAGAAAATATCTTAAAACAAATAAACTGCGTTAATTCTTATTGATACCAGTGTGTATATGAGGATAAAGCGTCTAGGTATAGAGTTATAAGGACCGGAGTGAAGAGAAATTATTTTCTACAATTACATCAAAGACCTAAATCTATAATCACTCTTATACTCAATAATGTTTGATTCGTTATTGCACAGAATTCAATAACTTTTATCTAACTACAAATGATAGCTCATGACTATACCTATCAAAAACAATGTATTGAATTTTAATTTTCTATTTATGAATATCATCTTGCATTCGAGCATTTCTATAACGATAAATAACCATCCTTCATGGAGATAAAAAAAAAGAATTCTTCAGTTCTATGCACAGCTTTTCTCTGTAAACTATATTACTAGTTATTATACTAAATTATGAACAAAATAAGATCGGATTATCATAAACTCTGCCAAAAGTATTCGAAACGAGTTGTTTTATTGAATTAGAAAACTTGAACGCTCAGTAAATAATATTGTTATTTTATAGCATGCTGAATGCGTACAGAAAAATAACAGTGTATGAAATTAATTCAAAAATAATCTATTCGTAGTGAAATGAGTGTTGATTCGAAAGCCGAATTAGAAATAAAGAAAAAAAGAGCTATAACCATCAAATTGTTAACCATATTCATGCGAATTAAGTAGAAAATCACTCTGTCTAGTGGAAAATTGCTACAGTCTGATTGGTGAAGAGAAGAAAATAATTTGAGCAACATTGTCAATGTATAAGTGAATTAGAAATGTCATGCTGTGAAAAATAGCTACTACAAGAGTCGTTTAAGTGATGACAATTAAAAGTTACAACACTACCCTGCTGATCGTATACAATGATGTACGAATAACTGATTGACGTAAGAGTATACGTCTAAAGAAAAACAAACCGGAGATAAACTAAATGAAAGCATATAAGAAACCAATTTTCATATATGGCTCTAGTATAAAAGTAGTGAATAAATAAAACATCGTAATTTCATGAAGAGCTGAACAATTTTGGAAAAATTTCAAAAAAACGTCAAGGTTATGTCTTTATTAGCTTGAAGGATTCGTTTATATTAGAAAAATAATGAATTTTTAATATCCTAGGATTATGATGAATATATATTATAAACAGATGTACAGACTGGCCTTGTCTTCTTTTCGTCGTCGAAAGTATGACACCTGCCTGTTTTCTCTCGCTTCATCAATTCATACACGTGTCAATTGTCAATGTATTGTTTGCCAACTTTTGTTGAAAGAAAAAAAAACATAATATACATAGTACAAAGTTATCATCACACTCGACCGGCGATTTCCTGTGTTCGGTGTTGTAGGCATACTTTTCATGTCTCATTGATTACCTTCCTTTTTTTATCGACTACGCCTGTGCTATATAAACTATAAAACCGGATCTTGCTAATTATCTCTTTTCACCTGCTTACGATAACACAACGTTCGTTCACCTTTTAATTCGAATCGAAAAAATCGATATTCCCTCAAGGACATATCCGCTTACTGAACAATTGTTAAAAGGATAAAATAATATAAGCGGTATCGGCTAAATAACCTTTTTGCTATTGTATTGTATTCCAACAAAAGAAGAAAAGTAGCAAAACAAATAGTTAGCTCTGCTCGAATGCATCTACTGATGATGATGATGAACATCATTGGAAACGATCATCTGTTCAAATCATTGATTTGGATAAAAACCAAAATTATTAATGGGCACAGCCGTTCAGCGTTTTCTCCATAATCAATAAAATAACAACAAAGACAAATTCGACATTCTTTCATCTTGATTTCTATTGATAGAAATATTGTTAAGACAAGGCGAGACGCCGGTGATTTATCTTCACATTGATCGAACTTCCGTTTTTTCCTTTTCCTTTACACTTTTCACTTGACCATAAGTGAACACAAGACGCAGTTTTTTTTGCCATCGTTTTGATCATTAGGAACAACAGAAATCTCATTAGATCAATAGTTGTCTAAAAGAAAAAAGTGCGTGCGAAATAAGTAAAATATTGTTAATAGATGATGACTTTGAGTGGATCGCACATCGTTTGATCTATGAATGTTTAACTAAAGAAAAAGAAGAAGAATGACCACGCAATGATAATGAAGAAAAAAAAATAATCGTTGTTGACGACGACGACAACAACAGACGTAAGATGGATCGAGATATGTACGTGCTTTTCATTGTGGACAAAAAGTGCGAGTTGATGTTTAATTTAAAGAGCCAACTAGCAATGAAGAATAAATAAGTTAATTAATCAATCGGTTTGTTTTGCTTTTTCTTTTCATTATTTCGAATATTGACAAAGTCTAGTAATAGCTGAGCTGTTGACGAGACATTTTATGTAAGACTATTTCAAAGGATAAATTTCATTCTATTAACTTGTTATTTAATCTTGCTTTTATTTATTTCTTTTTTGTGATAGAAAAGTCATAGATTAATGTGTTAACAAGTAGAAGAGACGAGAAAAGTAGGCACTGTCATTTGCTCTCTTTCCGTATTTCTATTTGAACAAGGAAGAAACGAGAGAAGAGAGAGAGAGAGAGAGAGAGAGAGTGAACATGAGAGAAAGAAGTGTTAATGAACAGTTTTGTGATTGTTTTCTCTTCTTTTCTCGTTTCTTTTCTTTTTGTTAAATGTTGAATGGAAAAGAAGTGTTCACATAGGAAAAGTTTCTCTTGCAGATATTGATTGACGCATGTCGATTAGAAAATAGCAAAATAGCAATTCGAAATGTTTATTCGTAATTTAATATTATTATTTATTTTAATAAAAAGTTCCTATTTAACAACGTTAACAAAAACTTATCCAACAATTGATTTAAAAGAAAATATTCCGAAACATACCAACGTATTTCAATTGACAAGAGAAGTAAAAAATTTGAAACTAGTCTTATTAAATTTAGGTGGATTTGAAAGCAATTTATTTACAATAAAAGATGAGAATATTTTCACAATCAATGAAATTGACCGTGAAAAATTACTAGGTGAAAAAAGATGTTTTGATCGTTCATATTGTTTAATTGAACTTCATATACTTGTTAATGATGGCGAAGAATATTGGGTTATTCCAATACATATCATTGAGTAAGTAGTTATTGATGGATTGATTGGTTTTCAGTGAGAAAGAAGGAGAGCTATTTTCTTTTCTTTTTTGAAGTGAAAATGATAATAAACCAGAATTTAAAAATTCCTCGATTGAATTAAAATTTCATGAAAATATTTTTGGTGGCTATAAAATATTATTTGAAGGAGCCAAAGATCTAGACGAAGGTTTAAATGGTAAAATTCGTTATATTCTCGATTGCTCAAGTAACAATAGTAAAAGGAAATCCAAAAATTTAATACTAAAAGAAAACAAAAATGATTCATTGATTAATTGTTTTCCATTATTTGAATTTGAAATTATATCGCAATCATTAATAAATCAATACGATCAATTGGCATTAAAATTCATTCCACCAAAATCGAATGAAATCATTGAACATGAATATAATTTAATTTTATATGCCATTGATTATGGTTTGGATCACAATGCATTATTTAGTTTTATGAATATTAATATTAAAATTGAGAAAATATTAAGAAAGCCAAAATTTTTATTAAACGAATATGAGTTTATAATAAAAGTAAATTCTTCTCTAATGAAGAAAGGAACGATTTTAGGCAATGTCAATGCAGAGTCGAACGATAAAAGAAAAAGAATTCTTTATAGAATAACTAACAAGACAATAAGTTCCATTGAAATAAACTCTTTAACGGGACAATTATTTATTTCAAATGATGATATTATCAATGATGAAATCCATTTATTAATTGAAGCTTCTTATTTATTAAATGAAAATGAGGACTTTAAATCTTTTGCTAAAGTTAAGATATTTATTCGTTCAATTAATTATTTAAATAATATTTCATTTCACATAAGAATTCAATCATTATTCATCCAACAGTTAAGTGATCCAGCGACATTTTCTATTAAGAAAAATACTTCAATCAATGAAAATTTATTTCAGTTAACTATTTCATCAAGTTATTATCCATCGGATAAGTATATTCTTTTACTTGATAATTATTATTCAACATTTTCAATAATATCTTCTTCGCAATTAACCAACAATTTCATTTTGAAACTGTCAAATTATCTTATTTCAAATTCAATTTATTTACTAAATTTTCGTGTAAAACATCAATTAACAAAAGAAATTTTATCAACAAATTTTACCGTACAACTGATTGTTAGTGATCAGTTGGCAACAATACCTACAACAAGCGCTTCTTCTTCTTCTCTATCTTTAACGTTAACTTCAAATTTAACGTCAAAAGCATCATTATCAAGTATCTGTAATGAAAATATAACTTATTTTCTTTTCGATTTTTACAATAAAAATCCAATAGGAAAATTGAAAGTTATTCAAACAAATATAAATATTTCGTATTTCTCCAATTTTTTTCTTTTAATTAATCAAAATGAATTCGTTATAAATCAATGCCGAATGTTAATCGATCGATTTGACGATTTTAATTTCAATGAAACTCAATATGAATTATGTTCAATCGATTTTGTTTGCTATAATATTTCATCAATGAATGAACAAAATTCATTTTTATTTATTGAAAATAATGCGAAGAAACGCTTTGGTGGAAGTTCAATTCTATTTCTAAGACCCATTGAAATAACAATATTGACTCTTTCGATTGTTTTCATTCTGGCAACAATAAGTTTAATTTTGATTATTTGTCGTTTAAAAGGTTTTCATCTTTGCTTAACAATTAAAAATTATTTATTTTATGGAAAAAAATATGGGCTAAATAATGCTCAACGTCTTTCAACAACAAAAATGAAAGTAAATAAATAAATCAATAAATTGCTTGTTTCCATTTGATTTATTTTCTATTTAGCAAAGAGTTCATTCAATTGTTGTTCGTGAATCTCGATCGCCTTCTTTTGAACCTATAAAAGCTAATAGTAAATCATTCGATTCGTTTCTGTTTTCGATTATTTTATTGATAAATATTCTTTTAGAATCTTATATGTTTAATATTAATCAGATTGCTCAGCAAGAGCCAATGCCACCAATACCTTTATATTCGCAATCATCTCCTCGTCAGCCGATTTCATTATCTTGTACGTCATCGATTCAACAAGACGAAAGAATAATATCCAATTTTGACAATGAAACAACACCTCGAACATCATCATCGTCATCGTCAGCAGCAGCAGCAGCATTTATACAGGAGGCAAATCAATTATTAGATATTCTATCATCAAATCACGATTCACATTTATCAACATTAGCTTCAGATGTTTAACATATGTACATTTGTTTTTCATGTAACAGTTCAATTTTCTTTTTTCTCATTGTGGTGGTTTTTGATTCAGTGTTCTATTGTTTTGAAATTAAAGTATAAAAGTAATCAAAAAGTTTTAAAAATTATTCTTAGAAGATATTAATTACTATAGAAAGATTAACCAATTAATTAAAGTTAAAGATAAAGTCCAAGATACAGAATGAAAAGAATCATTGATTTCGTGAGTCTATCATATACCAGCTGTATAAGTATTCATTGATTGAAGTTAGCACTAAGCATTTATCTATCGATTATCAAGTTATCTAAACACTTTTCGTATATGTCAAAATAGATAACAAAAGTTTCCGTGGTATTTCAAATGCTTGTAAATTCGATTGTATTTCTGAGAATTTTCAGCTTTGGCTCCTAGATTCATTTGTAGATAAAGTACTTCGAAGCAACCTGCAATAGGATTCAAGATATTGTATGTTTTTCAAAAACTGCTAAAAACATAAACGTATATTTCTAATAATTATTGGTTTTCTGTATGACTAAACATTTGAAATAGAGAGGCTTCCTTCAATTCAACATATCTAATAAATTTCATGAATAGAATAATATTTTTCAAAACCTTTTATCGACATATATAGCAAGATTTTTCTGAGTAATACTACAAACAAAACTCGACTTGTGATATTTTCTCCTCTTAGTATATTAGCTTAATAAATGAATGAATACTGATAATATAACGAGTGTCCCACTAATAATAAGTCTATGTGTTTGTCACTGACATTTCTATAAAGCTTCATTTGTTCAGGCAATTTTCTCCCCTAAAACTATTCGTCTTCTAATCCTCTACAAGAATATGTATGTATCGTAACTTTTACTTTAAATTGAGTAAAATCAAGTTAAAGTGTCAACCCTAGACGTCATTTCCATGCTAGGCGTATTCAATTTTTTTACACGAATGAAGTAAACGCGATGAATAATGGATGAAATAATATTGTTTCATACTGTAGTAATACACATTAGAACAAACTCGAAGCTAATGCAACACAATAAAATGGAACAACAATTAATGATCGAGTTGAAAAAAGGATATTAAAAGAATCGAAGGAATCTTTCTTTTGAAGAAAGTCTCGAAATGAAAATTCTAATTATTCTTATATAAGTGATCATTACAACAGTCTCTATGAACATTATTTCTTATATTGTAGTAACAGTATTATTGTTTGTTTCATTGACCTACCATATAGCATCGTGAGTGTCTATGTTTATGTTCTTTTATCGAAATAAAGATTTTATCGATTTTATAATCATCAAAATATGTGTCTTGACTGATTAACTAAACAGATATGATAAGAAATTGGTTGAAAAATATATACAAAAAAAAGAAGATATTCTGATCTTATATTTGCCTCACCATATAAAGGCGTTTCATTGTCTTGAAGCTAAGTGTATTTTCTATAGATCATCATTATAGATTGTTTTCTCGTATGAAAACTTGAGTCATACTGCATTCATTTAGGATTTTTAGAATGTCAGATCTCTTAATAGAGTAGTGTATTGGTAATTTCTTTTATTGATTTTCGCTTAGCTTCTTGGATTTTCGAAAGCAATGATACTTATCAAATTATTATAATCGTGAATTTATGATTAAATTTGTTTTTTTTCGGTTGGTGATATGAAGATAAAATTTTACTGAACGAAACAATTGCACTTAAAACTGCAGGTAGTAAAACAATTCAGTATAACGGACAAGTTACTTTTACTAGTAATTAAAGGAAAAGAAGACAAAAGCAACATGACTATAGATAACTAGATATACGGAAGAAAGAACAAACAAAAAAAAACAGAATGATCACTCGACAAAAGTGAGTATTTGATTTTGTTTGGCAGAACAGAAAAAGGCGTAATAAAATTGTCCTAATCAGCGACTCGAGGTCGTCGTTTTGAATCGTTAGTTAAACCAAGATTTTCATTGTTTGGATTTGCTATTGTTTTTGTATTCATTGTATTGAGTGATGATGTTGAAGAAGTCCCTTTGATATTTTGATCATTTACTTGTGCAGTAGATAAAAGTGTTGATGATTTTTTAACTAAGTTAGGCAATAAGATTTCATGTGAATACCCATAGAATGATCGTAAAAATGGAAGAATCTAAAAACAAGTCAAGTTTCATGAAAATTTAGGGAAAAACGAACATAAAAACACGTTACTGTCTCGTATTTGAATACTAATGCAATTATAAGTAAAGCAATTATAAATGCTGAATAGGAACCAGTAAGACCAGTTTCACCATCATAATTTTTTAACTAAATATCAATAAATATTTCGTTACGAAAAAATAATAAAAAATTGATATATGTAGTTCTATTTACGCGTGGTTCAAAATTAAATGTAAAAAACAAAAACGTTTGATTGGCTGTAAATGTTATTTCAGATTGAACATACGTATAAACACTTGTTGATAATGGTGACTCCAATCGAAGAATATAACTCTAAAAAAATTTATAATCATGTTACGGAAATATGCCGATATTGATGACAAGCTTGAGATAATTATCCTTCCTTCTCTTTCCATTGTTCTAATATCCCTCTTCTATATATAGGTGTGCTACGTATGAAGTTGTTACACTCTGGATATGTGAAGAACCGACTAAACATCATTACTGAGAGTGCCGGTAAGCTACTTCACTCTATTCAGTTTGTCACTCCGTATAGAGCCTAACAGGGACGTATTTATTGATCGTTACAAGGACTAGCTCAAAATAAAAGACATATTCAAATGAAATGCATGTATTGACTTGGCTCCCTAATAGATATGTTTAGCATGACAAGGCAATGTTGAATTTTTAGTCGTTATGGACATCTCTAATTCTTAAGCAAATTGTGAAATTTATTCAAAATTTTGTTTTTGAATAAAAGTCTGAACTGCTTGATGAATAAACAGAAAACAAAATTCAAAAATAGAAGATTTTACATATACATAGAACTCACTTCATTATCAAATGGTATTTGATTAAAGTAGCAAAATGGTGAATTCGTTAGTGTCACTGTTTGAATAGGACTTTCGCGTTGTGATATTTTATACAATTTAATCTAAAATTTTTACAATAAAAGAAAATATAAATTATCTAATTAAATAATACTTTAAGTTGATTAAGAAATTGTGTTTGAGTTTGAACAAAAACATTAATATCAGCGTCCGTTGGTCGTTTAGTTGTATACAAGTGAATGTCATATAAATCTGTATCGAAGATTTCAACAATTTTATTTCTCGGTTCAATATCTAAAATTTCTGTCTGCGCTGAATCAGTTGGATTTGAACGATATTGAAGACGATAACGACAACCAGGTTGAAGTGCACGTAAACGAAATTGTCCATTAATATCTGTTTTAGCTGATTCTCTTGTAACACTTTCACATTGATCAATACCAATAGCGTCAATAATTAAACCGAATTCTGGCTCATTATTTATTGATGTCACTTGTCCGTAACAACTAAATGCGATACGTTGTACTTGAAATTTTACAACGAGTTCTTCACCAGATTTCAATTCAATTTCAGCATCTTCGGGTTGAAATTTATATTCACGTAATTGTGGACGTAAATAATATTTTCCTGATTGTAAATCTTCAAATAAGATTTCGCCTGTAGTATCAGTTGTTGCTGTTCGTCGGCGCATACTATTCGTTGATGATGTTAATAAAAGAAAAACTCCATCAACATCTTTTATTTGTACGAGAATAGAAGCTAATTTTTCGGCATTAAAATCATATAATGATGATGATTTACGGGTAAATACATGACCCAATTTATGAATTGTAACATGGTATGGACGTGTATTCGATAATGGTCCAAAACTATATTTACCATCGGCATTTGTCCATGAAGATAGAAAAAGACTCATCGATCGACCATCAACATCAATAGATTGTTCATTTTCACTATCTATTAAAGTTGTATATAGTGATACATTGGCATCAGCAACAGGTGGATACGTTGAACCATCTATAAAAAGACCACGACGAGCAAGAAATTTCACTTGATTAGATTCACAGTTTTCCGAAGAGATAGCTATTGCACTATGATCAGGTTCAAATAACCATATATCAGATTTAGGAAATATGGTAAATTGTTCACTAGCTCTAAAATTCCAAAAAACAATTATTTCAAGGAAAAAGAGCAGAGTATTGAGAATTAATTACTTGGCCCAAAATGAACCTGTCCATTTGCTCTTATCTTTTTGTAGATCAAGTGTAAATTCACTATTTTGTTTTGGATTTCTAAACGAAAATAAACAAAACAAATGCAATAATATCGTGCCAATCTTGATATATTATTTTTTTTAAAAAGAAGTCTATTGTTTAGATATCGAATTTGATCAGAAACAAGGCTTGAACAAAAAAATAACTAAAACATGTCGTGATTAAAATTTAAAAAAAACTCAAATAGAGCCTTCCTAACATTCGATAAAATTAGTAATTAAACAACAAAGATCGAATGTAAATGACAAATAGTAAGAGAATTATCTTACGAATATATATGGACGTTATATTACAAAAGTATTTCGAGATCACCGATGATTAGAGAAATTAATTTCTCCTAAATCAATATTGATATCGAAGGCCAAAACGTACATTTCTAGTTTTGACCAGACGAATTGTTTGAACAGTTCGTTCGTATATTTTATCTCAACTGGGAATTAATCAATTTATATTTGATTTATGTTTTATTACACTATTATCAAACACATTTTAAATACTCAGAACTAACTACTCGAAAAACCGATAATCGGTATATTTTTTTGTAAGATTGGACAGGAATTTTGAATTAAAACTCTCGACGAATAGCAACATAGTCGATCGAACTAAATAAATGTTCTTTATGAATTGTATCATTTATTTATGGACTCAATATTAAATATTGAAACGGATTCACTACCAGTCAATAACATAATCTATTATGGTATATATGAAATTAAGATCATAACGAGCAACATACTCATTGAGGTAAAACTTATTTACGTGGAATTTCTCATCTGAAACAATAGTACTACTACTGTCAATGCTTTACCATCGACTGAAATTTAACTCTAAGGATTTTCGTAGTAATTTAAACAGCATTATATTTTTTAATTTACTTTATTAAAACTGGAAACGTTGAAGTACTTGGATCTTCGTTTTCAGTTTGAATAAAAACAAACACTTGATATTCAGCTGGAATTAAATCGACTGGTATCGATGGTGATTTAGATGTGTCATAAAAGTATTTTTCATTTTCAAATTTCATACAACTTGAAGGTATCAATTCATATAAACCTTGATTAGGTAAACATATTTCATTTAACCCTGATAACAAATCAATGGAATGTGTATAACTATTTTCTTTCAATTGATTGATTTTCTAAAATATTGAGAGAACCGAAACGAAAATAAAGCATGAAGATAAAAACTAAAAAAGCTTACCAAAACAACTTTATTTGATGTTTGAAGATGAGTACGAAGTTTGAAACCAGTTTGTTCGAATTTAATGGTTTTATTTGAATTCGATAAATCTACTTCAATTTGAGATTCTTTCCAACAATATTTATCATTTTTTCTAGAGTTTACTAATGAAACTAAAACAGTGAAATTGAGATAAAAGACATTTTTATAAACGTTTTCTCAATAAAATAACCTGAATATTTTCCTGGTAACAGATTATCTTGTTCAAAATGAACTGCATTGGTTTTACTTGAAGTTTCAATTAAATCAATTTTATTTGTAACACCAGCGCGTGATGTTAATTCTAACATTGGCAAATCATTTTGACAATCATCTAAAAGAAAATTTAACTATTTGTTTTTTACAAGTCAGTTAAAAAATGCGAAGAAATACCAATGCAATGAATAACACCATTCAGTTTTGCTTTTAGTTGAGAAAAATTTATTTGATCAATTGGTGAACCATGTGATACATCAACATCGATCTCTTCGGGTGTCAAATGAAGTCCTGAACGAATGTCAGCATCAGATAATTCAGGCTAAAGAAAAAGAAATATTCGAAATTTGATTTCTTATAAGAAACAAACAAATATTTGAAATTGAAGAAATTCAACGACATTAGTAAAATATGAAATAAAATAACGATGATAATAGATATGATACCAAAGATTCTGAGAATGAATATGAGCTATAAATCTAAATTAATCCCGTATTAAATTCTAGAGGAAAAAATCAGAGACACTGAAGTAATTCGGAATAGTTTTAATCTATAAAAATAATCAAAAACAAATGGTAATATCATCTGACTTATCTATGTACATACGAGCAGAGAGTGAAATAAAGAATTTCGAAATCTATCGCACTATTGAATCTCTAATCAAAATATATGTCGGAGTGAATCAAAACATAACTTATTACTAGAGATGTATCAACTATTTTGACTACAATCTCGTTTGTCAAATGTAGATCATTGTATCTGTGTAATTATGAGCATTTAGAATAAAGATGCTGGTATTAATAAAAAAATGAGTTTTTACTTGGCAAGAGTTATTCAATAATAAAATCCAATATAGTATCATTCGATTCTTCTACATCACTTTATTGTTGATCATACAGTAGGTTCTCATGTTTTTATTGTAATTAACTGTCCAGATCTGTCTCTTTAGTCAACGATAGAGGCGAACATTGAAACTGTTTTTAACAGTAAATAAACAAAAAGAAGGATTATACTCTACAAGAGATAGATAAAAATATTTTCAAGATTAAGCGAACACAGACACCACATTCTCCTTTGGACACTACACTGATTACTTATTTTTATTGATTTCAAATACTATTGAAATTATCTTTTATGGCCTATATGCGAAGGACTATTTTTCTATGTTTAATGTAGATCAAAGTAATTGATCTATACAATTCGTATCTCTAGTTGTAAGAGAATCAATAGTAAAATAGTTCGTCTTCGTACTAAAGATAAAATAGAAATAAAAATAATCAACTTACAGAAAATGTGTAGACACCAGGAGTGACATAAACTGTATATTCTGAATTTGGTTCAACGTCAAATCGTTGAATAGTCTTTTTTTCTGAATCAGTATAACGAATTGTTTGTTTTCGTATTGATGAACATTGAACACGACCAGTAACACGAACTCTATATATTTATTTAAATGAATTCGTTTTTTGTTTTGTTTTTGTCTATCGAATAACACTTACTTTTCTGGTGATAGAACAAGTAATGTTGAACTGTCACCAACACCAATAAGACGATTAAGATTAATTGCATAGATTAATTCTTTGAATATATAACCATCTAATTCACCTTTGATTTTAATTGTACCTGTTGAACGAATATTTTTTAATTTGAATAAGCCATTTGAATCAGTTTGACAGTAAGGTTTTCCGTCTACGCTTATTTGAACATTGGATAATGGAGTTAGTTTCTCCTTGAAAAAAAGCAAGAGGAGACTTAAATTCATTAGCTGAAATTAATTAACGAACTTTTTTTGTTGATTTAACAGCACGACCGTGAAATGAAATTGTTCCTGTTTCAAATGGAGTTTGAACATAAAAATCTTTATGTGTTACTGTTACAGCTTTTTGATCTGGTATAAAAACAATCTCAAGTGAAGGTGTTTTATATAATGGCAACTACAAAGGAAAAGCAGAAAACAAAGATTATCATACAATTATTGAACTATGGAGAAAAAAAAACGAAATATACCAAAATATAAAGACCAATTGGTGTATCGTTGAATATATATTCTCCTTTCGCATTTGTACGTGTTCGACAAACAAAATTTTGTGCCTTGATTGTTGGTGGTAACCATGAAACTTCATTGGCATTTAATGGTTCATTATTAGCACATGTTGGCAATGAAAGATTATCTTCATTTGATGAAGTTCGAAATAACAATACATCAATAGAAATCAGTGGTGATGACTGATGTACAACAGCTCCCTTCCATGAGTAATAAAAAGAAAAAGTAATTCATTCCTCTATCCATTATTTAATGACAACAAATAATTACCTGAATTGAATACCCTAGCACAACAATTGGATTTTCAAATTCCCAACGTTCTTTTGATAATTGTACGTGTGATGTGCTCTGAAACATTTAATTCAATTTTTTGACTTATTTATTTTTATTTTCAATTTACTGTCATGAATTTCCAATGATTGTGACTGCCAATGACTGTATATTGGCCAGGTAAAACATCAAAAAACTCAAATCTATAGAAATTAAAATATCAGAAAATTAATGAAAGAAAAGGTTCAATTTGTGGCTCAACATGTTTGAAATTAAGATGTAACTCGAACATTATAGGCAGGAACTTAATTATATATATATGTATATATATATGAGAATCTAAATTATTTATTGCACAATTAAAAACAGCATTTATGAAAAATATGTTAAGGTCTGTAAATTTAATTTATGAAATCAAAAATCTAAATGTATCTAGGAAAAAATATGACCTATAGCTATGTTAACAAATTTACCCTTCTTGATACGAGCGGATACGAGTAAAACTGAAAATATTTTCCTCCAACACAATATAGAGGGAAAAAAGATCACTCAAAAATTATTATTGGTAGTCTTTCAATCAGAGCTGCAGCAAAAATAAGCTAAATAGAAATTCTCACAGGATAAATTTAAACTATTACAAACGTTTTGCAGTTAGTTGGCAACGCTACAGTACAGAATCAATCGATTCAAACGAAAATCTCCTAAATAGTGCAAAAGATTATAAAAATAATATCTGAATCTTTTAAAAGTAAAGAAAGGTCTAATTTAGTCTTTCATTCTCTCAATTCGAAAACAAAAAGGAACTAAATGCTGTTTTCAGGTGGGAATAATCCAAAATTAAAGCAAAATTTTGGATTATTCCCGCCTTATCTAGCCCCCAAAAAATAAATACCCATTTTTATTAGTCATCAACGAATAAAAGTAATTTTCATTCGGAACAAGCATGAACGAATTAATTCAATAATATCAAAGCAAAGTGTTTTCATACAAGAAAAACATTTCTTTATTGGGATTCCCAATAGAAAAAAATTTCGTTCAGCTAAATAGATTTCCAGAACCTTGAAAGATTTCCCTCAACACACATTGACATACAAAGATCAATCTAACATGTCAGATAGAGAGAATAAAAAAATAACCTGTCCTAAACATCTCCACTATGAATGTTTTTATGCTGAATTGAACTTCGATTCTACAATCTTAGAGATTATCTTTTCACTTATTTATGAACAACATCTTCGTAAATCTAGATATTATTATAGGATGCTAGAGATAAAGCAACATTCATGAAATATTTCTGATTAGTAAAAATAATTAATACAAAATCATCAGACTTACGTTCCATCCGGTTTCGATTTTGTTTCATTTAATTTTCTATTATCTTGATATAATGTTAATGTTACACCACCTGGTCCACCACTTGTACTACCTGCACTTAATACCTTGAAAATAAAAACAAAAAAAATTTAAATTCTTCTAAGATCATTTATTCTAATCAACATACACGCCCAGCCAATCCAAATCCTTTGAAAACAAAATTAAGATCATAATTCAGTGTACATGAATCGGTTTCTCCATCAATATTTAATTCAAATTGTGTTGGTTCAAAACTCCAACCTGGTGGAGGAAGAAGCTTAAGAATATATTCACCATGTTCATACACTGGAATCATGTAACTAGTAGATAAATAATACAACAATAGTTTATTAATAAAATAATTTTAACTGACTATCCATTAACTGGAGCAGCTTCGGTAGTATAAATTGGAATGCCATCTTTGGTAATTAATTGTATCTAAAGAAAAATAAACAAACGACGTAATATATTGTTTTTTCTTTGTAAATCAAAACTATATATTTACTCGAACAACTTTATAATTAATATCTGTTTCAGATTTAATAAAACCTCCACAACCAATAACATCAGAATTTTGTTGAGTTTTTCCGTAAGAAAAACATATGAGAAATAAAATCAAAAATTTTAACATCAGTTCCTTTGGATAAAACAAATAGAAAGTGAATGAGTGAATTGTAAATGAAAACTCAATGATTGGAACATATGTTACCATATATGTAGTTAAAATAGCCTCGACTATATATACTACTATTGCCCTCTATCGTGCTATATGTAGAAAACAATCTTTTCTCCAGTGACTATAAAAATAAAAAAATATATTCTGTTCGTTCTGTGATAAATATTTTTTGTAGAAACAAAAAGGAAACGATAAGAACATTTGATATTTTATCAACTTTTTTCTCCCTATGTTAATTTTAATGCTTAGAAAATGTTAGAGACTCAATATTTTCTAGCATTGAGTTCGGCGGTAGATTCTTCACTTCATTAGATTTATCAAATCAGTGTTCAAGTTTTTCAAAAATATACATAAATGTTAATATATAAATACGACTTTTTTTCTTAGTGATCATTAAATCAGGCACCGTCTTCGAGACGTTAAGTCTCGATTGATAACACTCAATTAGTATTTTTTGCCATGCATGACTACATTCATATAATATTTTATTACAATCGTTTGCCTCTGTGGTAATATGAGTATATTATAATTATACGTATCTCTTTTCTTGTTTTCATGTTGATTTTAGGGTTATTTAACGAAATGTTTAAGTTAAGGTTATCATTTGTTTTTGTTTGCAATCGATTGTGAAAGCATGAAGTATTTCAGCTTGGATTAGAAAAAAAAATTCTTTGATTGGCGCATAAGTTAGTGTGCACTTGAGGATTATTTTTATTTGCTTTTTAATGCAGCATTTTTCTTTGAATTCTTTCCGATATTGTGTCGGTTCTTGGCACGTACGCACGTACAATTCATTTAGCAGACAAAAGTAGAAAAAGGAAAATGCAGAATTTATTTTTATTGTTTTCCTCAAGAAAACACCGATACAACTACTAAAATAAGAAAACAAATATGTATTATCAGCAGTTTTTTGCTTTAACTTTTTTTTTAGATTATCTATCTGATTTATTGGATTAGTATAAAACATTGTTGCCATTACCGTCATACATCAATTAAACCATTCCTTTTCATTATGTTCTTTACCCGAACAATTAACAATTGGAACCATTATCGATCTAATACAAGTGACAGTTTATCTATACGAAGGAATAAATTATATTTAATGACTAAAGTTATTTAATATTCTCTCTTGTTTTGTGTTAGTAATTCTTTTTTGCATTCGTTTATTTATTTATTGTTTCCTGTTTTTTTTCTAAGTTAGGTTAATACAATTTTTTGATTTCCACTGATTGAATTGATTGGTTGAAGTGTGTGTCGCGTTTGTGTGATAATCATAATTTATTCCTGTAACGTTTTATCTTGTAAAGCATTTGTGTTTTATTTTTCTTACAACATGATCTTTTTTCAAGTGACTATACTTTTTTCAATGGTAATGAACATTGAAACATTTTCAATTTCAAATGTGCAAAATAGCTCTGAAAAGGTAAAGCTAATATTCGTTATTTTTATTTATTTTTTCGAAATCTTTCATTAAATACATTGTTATCTTATTTTAAGACCTCTCGACGACAAGCTTTAATCATAAATAGAAATAAGAACGAAAAATTGCATGCAGGGAAAAGATATCAATTATCGTCTGAAAGTTCTAAAACTAATTTACTTACAATGTTCCCAGTTGCTAAGGGTAATTATGTTTTCAATGGTGAAGGAGAACAAGAATGGCAAATACAGAGAAATACCAATACTCAGTTTGCTATCTATGGTACGTAGAAATTAAAGTACATAATTAAAAAAATATATTTGAGGAAATAATAATTTATTAGACCAGAAGAAGAAGAAGAAGAAGAACAAGAAGAAATTTATTGAATCTATAAAGAAATAGATAAATACATTTTTTTATTAGCTAAATCGCATACACAGAAGCATTGCTGTGTTTTCAATAACTGTTAATACAAAAGGAAAGTCTCAAGGGCATGCATTGCATAGCAAAGTCAATTAATTAGGTAGCTATCATAAATACCTCAAAATTTTCTAGAAAACATATAATTTTTATAAATTTCAAGCTGTTTTTGTAAACTAATTGTATATATTTTACAATAGTTCAGTAAAACAAACATCAGCTTTAATCTTGATTAATACTAACAGCAATCGAATATATTTAGTGAATCTTTCTGAAAAATAATTACCTATTCGATTCGTTAAAAATAACTATCTATAGAATGCTTTTATATATTTAATGGAAATGTATTTTAATTCTTTAAAGGTAAAAATCTCGATGGTGCCGAGCTATCATTTACAACTCATCCTGAATCATGCCAATGGGAACGTAAAAATGCTATTTATAGATTAAAAGTAGAAGAAGCCAGTTCACAACATCGTACAAGTGAATATGCTTTTATTAATCTTAATTTACCTTACTATAATTCAACTCTGTACATGTGTTTAACGTCAGCAAATTCTAGTGAAGTATTGCATTGCGGAGATCGGTATTATTTCTTCTAAATATCTTTTTAAAACTATTTTATTGATTTTCTTTTTGTCTATAGACCTGGTTTAAAAATTCGAGTTACTCGACGAGCATTACCCGTTTGGACAACAATACTTTGTTTAGTGTTTCTTTTAACATTATCAGGTCTTTTTTCTGGACTAAATCTCGGTTTAATGTCACTAACACCACATGATTTAAAAGTTATACAAGAAGCTGGTACACCAAATGATCGTAAATACGCTAAACGCATATATCCAGTACGTAAACGTGGTAATTTTCTTTTATGTACTATTTTATTGGGTAATGTTTTGGTGAATTCAACAACAACCATATTACTTGATACATTAATTAGCGGTGGATTAGCTGTAGCTAGTGCAACATTAGCAATTGTTATTTTTGGTGAAATTATTCCTCAAGCTATATGTTCTCGACATGGACTCAAAGTTGGTTCACAAACAATTTTATTAACACAACTATTTATGATCTTAACACTTCCAATTTCATTTCCATTAAGTAGATTACTTGATTTTATTCTAGGTAAATATAATCGAAATGTGTTTCTGACGCTATAATCATAGGATATAAGCCACGAATTTCTTTCTCTTCTATAGACTTTCATCAGACTTTCGAGTAGGAATTTATCTGTTTGACTATATAATGAATACAAAACAAAAACAAAAATCCTTATTTTTATTGGTATTATCAAATAAAAGGAAAGTAAATGATGAATTATCATAGAAAATACGGCTGCATGTAGAGAAAATCATTCATTCAATGACTATAATTAAAAATAATTAATCTGAACAGATGACTATGATAACATTGAATCAAATAATAGAAGAGTTCATAATATTGTTAAACTTTGTTGGCATGAAATTTGAATTTGTATAATTTTTTTTCTATTTTCTAATCGAAGGGGAAGAAGTTGGTGCACGTTATACACGTGATCAAATGAGTGCTTTGTTAAAACATACATCAACAACTGATATTGAAGATCGTGAAAAGATCATTATGACTGGTGTACTTAATTTAAAAGCAAAAAAGATTCGCGATGTTATGACAAATTTAGAAGATGTTTTTATGCTTGAAGCAAACCGTATTGTTGATGACGAACTTGTTCTTAATGTTTATGGTTTTGGTTATTCAAGAATACCTGTCTATGAAGGAGAAAAGTCTGCTGATTCAATACAAAATAGAAGAAAAACAAATATATTAATTCATTTTGTTTTTGATTTCTAGAAATAATATAGTTGGTCTTGTATATGCACGTGATTTTGCTCTACCTGATACAGAATCAGGAAAATTTACTGTTAGACATATAGTGAATTTTTGTAAACATCGTTATGGTACATCAATTACACCAGATGATTCAAGTTATGATGTATTCAATTTATTTAAGAAAGGTTCATTTTAAAGAAAAATATTTGGATTGTATTCTTAATTCGTTTTTGTCTTCTAGAACAATATCATTTAGGTATTGTTGTTGAATATGATAATACAAGTGAAAAAGACCCGAGAGCTCGAGCTGTTGGTATCGTTACATTCGAAGATATTATTGAAGAAATGATTCAAGAAGAAATCGTTGATGAAACAGATGTATTTAGTAAGTGCAAAAGAATTGAGAAAAGTACTGTTTTATGTCTACAAAGTCGGAGATAGTAAAGGATCAGCACAAGAGGATTATCACATTCAGACGTGTCAACATGAGAAAGGTTTCAATAATAAGCCCTCCAGATGTTGATATTTGAGATTTACTCTGGCAAGATGAATCTGCAAATATATTTAGTTTGATGAACTTCATCGGAAGTTTTAATGCAAACATAATATTTCTAAACACTAAAATTCCTATATAAACAAAATATTAATTAAAATGCATGAAAAGTATTGGAATTTTTTACTAACTCAAAATTTTGATTGACTTGAAAAGATAAAATAGAGATTGATTAATTTTCATCAGCTACTCGTTGAGAAAAATATGCGAATAAATATTTGTCAACGGATTCTTTTGAAATCGTAGAATATTTAATTTTAATCTTTAGTTCTGGTTAGGAAAAACTTGTTTTTGTTTCTTTAGTGATCTCACAGATTTCTATAATCATTCCTATCCTTTCTTTTCTACAAAAGATTCGTCATACACGCATGATACAAACTGTCATTCTATTATTTGATCATATCTTAAAATATTTTCTATTTGTTCAATATGTTAACATGATTCAATAGAATATTTTTTTTAGCTGATAACCGTCGAAAAGTTCGTAATGTTCTTTCTCAAGCACCAGATTTTTCAGTCTTTATTCGTCAAAATACAACTGAAGTTATTAGTAAAATTTCAGCACAAATGAAAGTAGCTGTTTTTCAATTTCTATCAACAAGTAAAATCGTTGATTTTTTTGTTTTCAAATTATTAGATAATACTTTTGTATTCAAATTTAGGCATTGAACCTTTCAAAGAAAAATTTATTTCAAGTACTATATTAAGTCGTTTATTAAATATTGATTTATATAAAGAATATGAATATGATGAAGATGATTCTAAAGTTGGCAAAACTACATATATATACGAATATGATAAACCTGTAGATTATTTTGTTCTCATTATTAATGGTAATGCAGAATTGGAAACAGGCAAAGAAAAAATTGTTAGCGAAATAGGTTCATTCTATTACTTTGGTGTTAGTGCACTTTATGTAAGATTCTTTTACTTTTATTAGTTTCTAAAAAAAAACTTAACGATAAATTTTCTTTAAGAATCCTGATGAAAAACTTGATGATCTGATACGTTCAAAATCCAATAGATTTCGTCCATTTATACCTGATTTTAGTTTACGTGTTAGCGAAGATGTACAAATTTTACGCATACGACGTGTTCATTGGTTAGCTGCTGTACGTGCAACTTATTTTGAAAAAAAACAAACAGCTAGTGGTGATGCACCAATGGTCAATTCTAACGGTGAACGAATTGATTTGTTAATACAAGAATTAGAAAAGGTTAATCGTGTTGATTCATCGAATACGAATGGTTGTCTTACAGGAGACATGATGCATGAAAGAACATCATCATTAGCCTTAGCATCGGATGGGGCTATTGAACATGAAAAATTATTAGCACAAAATCAAGCATCAAGCATTTTATCTAATTCAAATAAAATATCACCAGATAGTCCAATCAATTCCGATAGAAATACGCCAACATTAAAAGAAAACCAACGAGACAAATTATTTCGCTCTTTCACAACACCAACACCACCACCATCTCCTTAATTCTCTAATGAAAGTTCATCATTCATAAAGCATTCATTAACTTAGTACTTCATACTTAGATATGTATATGTGCATGTGTATATATCGAGCAATATAATGGAATGTAATTCTACCTTTTTGTAGGACAGTCTGTTTTCTTTTTTGAAGTTGTTTGTTCTGATTGTTGATTTGATCTATTTAAAAAAAAATATTTTCTTTTTGATTTTGAGCTACCAAATAAATTTAATTATATAAGATATCAGTATTTATATGTGTAATAATTTTATCTTTTTTTAAATATATGCAAAAGGTTATAATAATATCTTGTGTTCATATTCAATAGATGAAAAACGAAACATTAATTTTACTATTTCAATCAATACAGATCTAATATCAAATGTAACACAAATATTTAATAGTATTGTCAAAGTAGTGATATTTATCTATTACCATTCAATATATATATCAATTCTTGTACGATACAGACAGAATTCAGTTCTCGTTCGCTGTTCTATTCATAGGATTTGTGTTATTCTAGTAATATTAGACTAGTGAATTTATTCAAATGGAAGTTGGCGAAAAAAAATCATGTTTCAATTTTGTTGTCGATTTCGTACAAATTAAAATTATAACTATGAGTAATGCTAGATATGTTACACGCTACAGTTTTTAGAAATAATTTCATAGTTATCATTTTTCATAATTTTTATTTATCCAAATATAATAGATATTTTTGTTTTGCTTTACAAATCACCAGCTTAATTCTAATAATGATTAGAAAAGTTTCGTCAATGCATCTTATCATATTCGTGATTACAAATTGATGAAAATGAAAATCACATTATAATTATAGTACTTGGTGACTCCGTATACTAATAGATTCCTATTTTTTTATTAATAGTATCCTGTCAAGGATATAGAGAGAAAAAAAGACGAGCAGGAAAAGAAAATGCGTGTTACATACGCCATTATCCAAGGATATAGGAGAAAAATCTAGAGCTTTCTATTGTACAAGACGATTGATTATCGTGTAGAGAATGGAGTCAGCCATTACCAACACACGCTTATTTCAATATGCTAAAAAGGAAACAACACCTTTTCGCTTATTTATTCAAAAATGTAAACATGATTGGTCATTTGTATTTTCTGGTATGTTAGCATTCAATTTATTAATTGCACTATTACCAATGGCTGTAACATTATTTGGTATACTTGGTTTTGTTCTTGGTAATCATCCGGAATTACGAAATCATATCAGAAATAAAATTATTGATGCATTTCCACCAAAAGCTAATGATGGTTTAAGAGAAATAATGAACATGGCATTTAGACAATTATATCATGATGCTGGACTTATATTATCGTTTGGTATTTTATTTGCTATTATTGGTAGTTCAAGATTATTTATTGCTATTGATCGATGTTTAACAATAATTTATCGTATCGAGGAACGAAGATTCTTTGGAAAATATTTATTAGCTATTGGTATGCTGTTTCTTTTTCTTACACTTATACCATTGATGATGGCTGCATCATCAGCTCCATCACTACTTCTTGGTGTAATTCCAAATACTGGCGGGCGTCTTGGAGCATTTATTACTGGAGTTCTATTAAGTTTATTTTTTTCCTTTCTATTATTTGAAATTATCTATCTTATAATTCCAAATAAAAAAATGACATTTAAACAAACATGGTGTGGATCAATTGTTGCTGCTGGAGCGTTACAATTATTCATGATATTATTTCCAATTTATGTGAGAAAATGTATGACAAGTTATACTGGTCAACTCGGTTTTGCAGTTATTTTAGTTGTTTTTCTCTTTTATGCAGCTGTTATACTTATATTAGGTGCACAAATTAATGCTTTCTTTTTTGAACACATTCAACCATTGCCTGTTCCACTAGGATCCTTTGTTGGTACACTTGCTCATGAATACCACCAAAAGGAAGCTAGAAAACTGTTAAATGTTTAACAATAGAAATATTTTCGATTTTATTTCGATAGATTTTGGCAATAAAATTCGAGAAAAAATTGCTTTGCTTTGTAATTTGAATCTTAAAAATCACTTGATCGAGTAATGTTTGGAAATAATATTAAGAATAAAACTAAAAAAAAACAACAACAAGTAGTAATTAGAGCATTCCGGAAGTGTTGACTTCTACTGATACAGTCACATCTAATTGAAGCTTATCAAGTTCTTCGGTCGAAAACGACTTTAAAGTTGAAATCATACTTAGCAAGCCACAATCAATGTATTTGATAGTATTGTTCAATTAACGAATAAGTATTACATGGTTTAACATACTCAATATGACGGAACAATGCTGTTGTCGTCGATCAAAATCTTTTCAATATGATCGACAAATGAAAAATAATACATCCATTGAAAAGAGATGGGCATCCGCTGATAGATCAATCATACATAAATATGCACATATTCTTTAAAATACAAGGATTTCGAATGATGGATCATCATAATTTGAAGTTTGATTCAGTAAGTTAGTCTCACTATGATATTTTATATCTTTTGTCAAAGTAGTTCATTGGACGTTCTTAAAATACATATGAACGCAATGACAAAGGAAATATTGTAGGCTAATACACAAAACATCAAAGTTCATGACGATAGTATCCGACCACACATCTTCATAAATATATTTTTCTTTTGCTATCTCGCATCAAAATTTATCACCATTGTTTTCTATTCGCTGCCTTCTGCAAGTCGTATGCGAAGTAGGTTTTATTGGAATCAGCTAATTGATTAGTTTGATAGATCAAATGTATTTGACTCGTTGAATAAATATTTTGCTACTAACTTAGATAATAATTTTATGAAATTATGAACAATTCAAAAAAGAAAAGATTATCCACACGCCTTTACATAAGTTGATCATGTGCTAATAAACAGAACTGTCATCATGTTTCGTTGCTGAAACCAGATTTAGATTCTATTGATCTCGCATATGGTTATCTGTCGAAACCAAAAGTTTCGATATGAACTTCATTTTGATTTGAATTTTCATACTCGAGAAAGTAGTGTATCAGTGAAGTCAACAAAACGAATATTTATATCATTCGACTATGAATATAGTTTCAAACTTCAATAAATGATTATGAACATATCAACAGGGCTTCATCTGTCTACAGACTGCGGCTGGTGATTTTATTAGTCCAATTGTACCATGAAGAAAAGTAGAGATAAACAATGTGTTTTCGTTTTTCATCTAGCCATATACAATTTAATCTACAACAGAAATGTCCAATATATTTTCTACTCACTAACGAATTCAATGAAAACGAACGTTGAGAGATACCGTAATTGTTGCAAAAGATTTTTCTAGATTTTTCCCTAACAGAAACAATGTTTTAAAAGAGCTGATACGTTCTGCTATGGATTCATAAATACATTTTACGACTACAATTGCTTCTTATATACATTAAATCTACATCGATCACGAAATTCTTAAATTCATCATGATTTCTATCACAGTTACTTTATGTCTAATAGAAATAGTAAAAATGATACTTACATGTATTCATAATAAAATAAAAAGTTGCCTTTCAAATATTGAAATTGAGATAGTATCGTTGAATGCTATGACTTCTGAATCAACTGACTTATCAATAGTATGTACTTGATGCATTAGAAAAATGAAGCTAATCTTTCTCTTCTATTTTATTTGACATATTCAAGTACCTGTCGTATCTAGATAATTCGAATGAAAATATTTGCTTATGTTTAGCATTGTACGATATTTTATTCTCTTTATTTCTAAATTATATCTTTGAATAATAAAACACAAGGACATTATTTATTTTTGGACATACTGAGTTCATCGTTTTCTTGCTTTATTCGATTCGATTAGTAAAAATCGAAAAATCAGGAACAAAAAAAATTCGCTTCAAATTTTCACAGAGTATTGACAAAAATAGTTGAATGTTCGTTGTTGCTTCATTTGGATTTTTCCATTTTATTTATCTTGGTTGTTAATAACAGAAAAACGTTCATGTACTCTATATGGATGATGACTACGTCGTTCTGAAAGCATGTTAAATTCTGATGGTTTCATATTGCGTTTAAAAAAATCATTGCCTGATAATGAATCCAAGCTCTATTAATATTTGTAAAAAATAATATTCTTTATTTCTATAGTTATATGAAAATACCTTTTTGAAAAAATCATTTCCACCTAATGAATCCAAATTCTAAAAATAAGAAAAAAAACAAATATATAAATATAAAACTTTCTCCGATTGAAATTCATACTCTCTTAAAAAAATCATTGCCAGATAATGAGTCTAAACTCTAAAACGAATTAGAATTCTTAACAAGAAAATAATATAGGAAAATTTGAAAACTATACCTTCTTGAAAAAATCTGAACCTGACAAAGAATCTAGAGTACGCTTCTATTTAAAAACAAAAAGAAAATGAGAATAGATATAATGATTTGACATAAACAAAGAAACAAAAATATACTTCTTCTTCTCGTTTGAAAAAGTCATTGCCCGAAAGTGAATCAAGACTCTAAATATCATTAAATAAATGGACATGTTGATCTCTAAATAAACTTGTATATTTACTTTCTTGAAGAAGTCCGAACCGGAAAGAGAATCAAGTGTTCGTTTCTATACATATATATATATATATATGAGAAAATAAGTATTCAAAAAAAAACATCGTTAAATCAAAAATTACTTCATCTTCACGTTTGAAAAAGTCATTCCCAGAAAGACTATCAAGACTCTAAATAATAAAAAAAAATTATCAATAAAATGACATTGAATTCGCTAGAGTTAATTTCACTTTTTTAAAGAAATCCGAGCCTGACAATGAATCAAGTGTACGTTTCTAGAAAAGAAAATACATAAATTAATGATTGAGTTTTTTTTTTCATGATGATCAAATTCGATTGTGATTTTTACTAATTTATGTTTTACATTATCTATGTATGTAAAAAGAGATTCTCACTAAAATAAAACTAAGATCGCAATTTCTATCTGTGAAAATTACTGACCAAAAACATCGATGATATGTAATCACCTAAGTTGTTTTTATTAAGCTGTCATATTCCATTAGATACTACGTTAAAATAGAAATCAATGCCCGAGGTCATCATTTCCTGTTTGCATATTGAACCATAAAACAACAGTTTCTATTTTGGCCCATTAAATCTCAAACTAATAGTCAATTTCATACTAAGCATTCCAATGAATACTCACTTTGTCCTCTTCACCCATAGTGCCAAGTTGGCATATAGTGGCAATAACTAAAGCAACATATATGGTCGACATAGTAGCAGCAGTCATTATGTGATCTCGATCAAAATAAATTTTAGGATTGTTTGTGTGAAACAAATGCCAGACGTTGTTGTTGTTAAGTGTATATATATTATGACTTTTACTGTCTTTCTCTCTCTCTTTTTTCAATCAGATTTATGAAAAAGAGAGAAATAGAGAAGAGGAAAATAGTGTTTCTCTCACTATATTTACTGTCTCTGGCGATTCTATTACTGATAAAGAAAAAGCCAAATGAAGCGAATGTGTGACTGGAATCAATCATCTAAAGGCACTTACTAATGATCTGGGATCAATATTTATTAGACTTATGCGAAACGTTAAAGACTATCGTGATTTTTTTACACTTTAAAAAAATGGAATTAGTAAGCATATTCTAGTATTTATAAAAAATCTTCTGCCAATCAATGAAAAAAACAATCAGCCATTATTTATTTTTCATATTCATTAACGTCATTCGAATTCGCTCTATTTATTGAACATGCTCCTACAGATTGGTTGTCTATGAGCAGATTAATTAGTGCTAAAAAATAGAAGCATCTTGTTTCTGTTAAAACTACATATAAACACCTGCAATGATCGTTGGAAAACATAGTTAAAGAAAAGGGAAATAGGTGCTGCTTGTCCTATAATGACGTGAGTTTCGACAGGAAATGAATAAAAGCACTAATGTAAGTTATTAGTACTCTATTGTTACTCTGATATAAAAGAACATTGCAATGCTAAGATGATCGATGAGAATATATAAAAACAAAACAAGACATTAGAATAATATATAAAATACAAAAACACAAAATACAGATAAAATTCCAATTCATTTCATAGATTGAAGTCAATTATCTGACAATTCGAACGAACAAATGTTCAATCGATGACATGCTCATTGATTGAGTAGCAGAAAATGAAAAGAAAACTATTGCTATTACTATAATTATATTCTACTAAAGCAATGGCGACGAAGTCGAATCCATTTGATGAAGGAGGTTTTTCGATGCTATTTATAGTATAAAAAAAGTTTCATTTATGACAATATAATATCGAAAGTAAACTTTGTCAAACTACCATCGAATATTACTAACCCTAATACAATTTGATCAATGAACAGTTGGTCCTATTGTGTAAGCTTGTTGACGATAAATTATTTCACTTAATATAAATATAAAAAGCCGGAAAAATCATATAAAGCATAAAAACAAAAGTAGAAGGGGAAAAGACTTGTTGGATTAATTCTAATGATTTTTTTATTGCTGTCAATGAATATTAAAATAATATCTTGATGTAGCAAAATGTCTAGCACACGCACACACGAAATGTCTATCTAATCTTTATTAAAAGTATTGCATTCATCTGTTATTTGTTTTTGTTTTCTTCATGAAATCGTTTAGTTCAACATTTTGTGATGTTCTTCAATATATTAATTGAAGTATTTATTTCTTATATTTTTTATTTTATTGTTTTGTAGTCAAAAATTAATGTAACTATGGGTAGGAAAAAGAGAAATAAAAATAGTAGAAATAGCGTGATTTTGATAAAAGAATTATTTGAAAATAACCATTTTCATATTCGAAAGAATCTAAATTTGAATGGCATTTTACAAGGCACCATTGAATCATGGTCATAACTTGAAATTAATCTCTTATATAATGATCTGATTGTAGACAGAAAATATTTTTTGGTCATCAAAAGAATATAAGAAGGATTTAAACAGTTTTTAGTCAATTTTTGATTTTCGATAAATATATGTAAAGTGATAACACTATTACTTCATTTTATAAAACGAAAAAGCAAGCATCAATTCAAATAAATATCTTTACAAAAGAGAATAGCGATGAATTTAGGTTTTTCATCGATAGTAACTAGAAAATTTTAATGGCATGATGCAAAAATAGATGAAGTAAATAGTTTGCATGATATTAAAACAAAAACAAGAAAACTTCCTGATGCTGTCAAATAAACTGCAAATTAGTAGAGTATAGGTATCTATTTATATTTACTTTCGATTTAATTTAAGAGTACATGAAATGGTCTATATTTTATGTTTCAAATAAATACAAAGGTACAAATACAACTAACTATACTTCGTATTTACTTTAAAAGATAAATTGGGTGAAAAATATTTACATTTATTTTAAATATAAATTACTGACAATTTATATTTATTTTGAGCAGACAAAAAAGTGACACCTCTACAGCAGAGATTATCATAGACAATTAGTAAACACCGTTTGCAAATGTCTGATTATCTAGAGGAACTTCTTTCAGTTAAAACTTAATTCATGTGCAATGCGTTATTTTGCTTATATAAAAGCCTATTCTCAACTTACTCACACTAGCGTAATATCGATATTTATATTTTGAAAACAATGATAAAAAATATTTTCCATAGAACGTATAAACTGAAAAAACAAGGGGAAAAGCGGATTCTTAGGATTCTGAATCCCATACAAATCCCGAAAATCTCAAGAATCCAATGAGAATTCCTGAAATTCCATGAGAAATCCCAGAAATCCAGAAAATATAATTTATATTCTGGACTAATAAAAGCATCAATCGAAGCAATTTACGAAAGAAACTATACAGATAAGCTAGTTGCTGTGAAACAAGGACTTGTTGCCATAACAAGTATAATACAAATTCTTCTGAAATTCGTAATTCTCATCGCCGAAGAGAACAAGTTGTAACATGTTGATTGATGACAAGAATCTGTTTTATCCTCTTGATATTACAAATTGCATGTATTATCTACGTTGCATAAGTAAAACAAAAGGATGCATATAGTTAGCATGCTTAGATAATTTAGTAAGACGCCTATTCATGTCGTGAAAACGTCGTGATTTGGTGATTTGTTTTAAATCCGTGTATAAATCGCGATTCTTTCTACTGGGCATCCATTTAAAGAAGAAGAAAACAATTGGTACGCAGAATGCAATCTAAGAAAAAAAGTCGAACTCTTTTAATTATGATGCAACTCAAGGGGAGGGAGATTGGCGGGTTCTCGGGACTTCGAATCCCATGGGAATCCTGGAATTAAATAGAAATCCAGGGAATTCAATGAATATCGAAGGAATACTTAAATTAGATGTTTGAGCAACACTGAAATCATAACTCATGCTCATGCATAACAAATATCCATTCGTTCATTTAATATTTTGAAACCCGTTCCTTTAAGGGAACCACGTAGTGGTATGGAAAATCAGAGTGTGGATGTGAATGTTTCGTGGGGATGGAAGAAAGACGTAGATCATCGCCCTCATCGATATCGTAAACTGAACGTTCTGGAGTATAGAAGCTACTGATTTCTAACGAAATAATGTGATCTTAATCATGACATATAGTATGATTATTTATAAATTTCAAGTAGATGAGAGATCTCAAACATTTTGTACAATAACACTCATGTTGATTCATAGAAGGATGAACCGAACTACAACTTTAGATTCGACATAACATATATAGTAGCAATTGAACTAAGGAACTAGCTCCGAACATGAACTTGCGGCCTTTCCATTTTATCGAATACTTAGTAAGTCGTAGCTCTGCGATCAACACTATTCTTCCTAGACTGGTCAAGAATGCCTTATCCGTGAATATTAATATAAAAAAAAACGGGTAAATAATCTACTGACTTTTTACCAAATGATTGGAACAATATACTAATCGATGAGCTTATATTAATTCATTACCCGGCTCGTTTAATAAAATAAACATGATCAATGAGAAAATGTAACGGGCTAGTTCTGATCGATATTACTTTGGTTTTTACTGCCCTTTCGCGGACAAAGAAAAATAAAACAAGAGCTTTTTTGTCTCTAGTATTGATGCATATCTTATGAAAAAATGTGTTTGAACTTAGTGATGACTGGACTATTATTCTTCTGTGGAAGAATAAATATCCGTTGACTTTCACAATTCAAGGCAAGCTTAGAGCCAATAATTGAATCTTCGAGAAAAAGGCAGGCAGCTAGAGAACAAAAAGGATAGAGGTGCGGAACTCGATGAAGATCTTGAATATTCGGGCGAAGTTCAGGCATTCTAGTGCATGTAGAATCTGTTTTGGTCCTATCCAAATGCAGTGCATTGAACTTTTCATTAAAATTTTCAAAAATGTCACACAAGATAAGAAAAAGATGGTTTCGAAACAATCAACTTCAAAATGATCTCATGATCTTCTCCTTTGTGATAATTTTGGAAAGACTATTTGTCAAATTTATAATCTAGCCTATAATCTTCTTTCCTGATTTGATTTTAATTTTGTTTAGAAGAAAACAAGAGAATCTGTGATAAAACAACATAGGTCAATTATACGAATCTAGTGTAAAAAAATTCATATTGTCTAATCTGACGAAAATCATTACAACTCATTGGATCAAGAGTCAAACTAGTATTTTAAATCTAGTGTTGCTTTTTTATATTCAAATCAGAGAAATATAGCTGATCCTAAGACAAAATTTATAATTCGTTTCTACCTGATTGCGTTAAGCATGTTCATCTGTCAGATTACTGAATGAATAAACGGTTACGTATAAGATGTCATAGATTCATTTGATTCGACAGATTTCTTGTATCTCATTGATTTATCTTATTGCTTGCTGCTCTTTGTTATTCTACCTCGAACGTTTTCTCTTAAAAATAAGAAAGTAAACTGTCGTGTTGTCAAAATGAACTTGACAGCAGTCTAATTAGGTTAAGTGCCTAGAATTTTAAAATAGATAACCCTAGTGAACTATCTTGGGATATGCGCATGAAATACATGAGCATTTGGAGCAAGAGTGTCATGTGCTGTAGACAAATCTTGAGGGCTGCGCATTTCATGCGCATAAGAAGAAAATTTATGTAAAAAGGCGTAGTTTGGAGTTCCAATCACGCTTCAGATCGAATATTTTTCTCCTGGCTATAATTCTGACCTGGGGAATTATATCCAGTGCTTTTAATCACGATATCAATGAAATTCTTTCTTCCATACGTATGACTTTCTTGAGACTCTTGAACAAGAAAGTGATGCGCTATAGACAAATCTTGATATCTGAACAGGTCAAGCATATGAAAAAAAAACCGTTCGCCTAGGAAATGATTTTCCTCAATAGTTGTGTGCAGCTTTTCAAGCCATTTGATAAAGCAATGAAGCCTTGACACTTAGTTCTATCAGATTTTCAGGACTAGAGTGAGGATCATAGAAGTTAAATATGAATTTCTGGAATGTCATTTGTTATTATAAAAATTCCGAGAATTTATGGGATTCCATGGTAATCCTGGAATCCTGGGAATCCGGAATCCACCTTTTCCCCCTTGCTGAAAAAGTCAGCAGATATTAATAGTTGATGATTTTGATAAAATAAACTTCGATTAATTTTTATTATCTTATCATAAATGATAACGCTATTGGTTCCTTATGAAAGTCATCTTTATTCTTCTTCCAGCCTATAATTATTTTGCCCAACTGGAAGATTATTACAAAAAATGAGTGTTCTAGACTACAAAAATTGTGAAAGAATGAAAAGTTCAATAAAATCCATGTTGTTTCATGGCACTTAATTCACGCGGCTTAGTTTCATAAAATAATGAATCATATTGATGAAAATTAAATACTATTTGAAATCTTTCTTTTATCGGAGAAATCAGAATGGAAAAATTGGATATTTTCGTTAAAAGAAAAATTCTAAGCAAATTTTCTAAACAATTTTCTTGACATTTTAGTTAAAGTACTTAGTTTACTACTGATAGGAATTGAAAATTCTAGACAGAAATGTTACTCTCAAGATTTTAAAGTAACCTTAAATTATGGTAACGTTTCTCAGATTGCATGACCATTTGTTGTCCTATTTGATGTATTTTAGAAGAATTCGTACCGAGTTCTGAACAGTATTATTGCGTATATGAAAAATACGCAAATATTTACAAATCATTGACGCCGACTCTGAGCTGTTGAGCTAAAAGAATACATAATCAAAGCGTTGAAATATAGATTAAGCTTACATGGATTTATCAAAAAATTAATCAATTGCAAAATACTTAAAGCAAGCAGTATGTAATTGTAAATCGATGTTTGATTATACGTTACCTAATTAAAAATTCTTTCAAAATATTTTAAAATTTATACAACTGTTCCTACGTTAGTTTTCAAAAAATTGAAACACGATTTCTTGAGAAACATTATTTTATTAAAAATATCAGAAAAAAATTATCAAAGTAGCCATTGAGCACAACCAGATACTTCTTATACAAGAGTTTATGATGGTGGCTTTCTCATAATTTTGACGTGTGATAAACAACTTTACTACAGGTCCATGAAATCATTCGGTAGTGTTTAATACAAAAGGATAAAATGATATTTTCTATTGTCAGACTTGATACTCACGAGGAAATGTTTTTACATGTATGTTAGGCTTATCGAATAAAAAAACAAAATAATTTTTTATAAGTAAATCTTGTCATAAATACTCTAATTGACAAATGGATATGTGCTCTTATATTACGGTTTATACAAAGCTCTATTGAATCTGCTATTATTGTTGTAGAAAAATGAAATTTTATACCTTGTTCAAGAACTACAAAATTTCTACTATGTTTTCAGCCTTTTAATCACGAGTAGTTTATAATGAATATAATACTAAATGAATTTCAAATGTACTTCTTCGTTGACGACTCATTAAGAACAGTATTGTAAAGAGAACAATTGTCTGATCATACCGTTTACTGAATTATCTTTACCATTCGAATACTTATTCGAATAATTAGATTAAGAATGATTCGATGTGATGAAAGGAACGATCTGCTAATAACTGGATATTTATTAACTTCTCTCAAAGAAATGACATTACATGAACCCTTTCTCCAACAAGCGTATAAGTTAAACTCTTTTGTTTTCGATTACTACAGATGCTCCCGAGTCGAGAAAACGTTGCTAATTCCAAAGTAGCGAAAGAGTTCGCAGTGATACTGTTTAAAAGAAAGAACCTATCTCTTAATACTTTTAAGCTCCAAACATCCGTTCTCATCACTCTTCTTTGTTAACCCTTTACGGCCGGATGTTGCCATTTGGCAACATCCGGCCGTAAGGGATCAAAATTTTTGAAAAATCATTTTTCGTTTTCAACCATCGTTATTCGCTANTAAATGAAAAAGACGCAAAATAGTGAATTTTGATGATCGGCAACGACAAATGAATTTTCCAAAGTTTTGACCCTTTACGGCCGGCTGTTGCCAAATGGCAACATACAACCATTCAACATAGAAGCACCGTTCAATTTTAAGAAATATTTTTTTGCTATTTCTATGGCAAGGTAAGAAAATATATGCAGAAGAAGAGTTTTAATTATGTCGCTTCTGGGAGCCGACTGGAAAGGGTTAATTCGCTTTTTCTTTATGTGATAATATTCGTTAGCTTTTACTGAGTATGAACAAAATATAGAAAGAACTACCGGAATTCATTTCTTTTTGTAGAATCTATTGTTTATGAACAGATGCATTCTTCATTGACGATTTATTAATTATGATGATATTAAAGCAGACGTCATTCATATCGACATTCTCAAAAAATTTCTTTTACATCTGTCGCAGTTCGAAAGGCAGGGAGTGAAGAAGTATTGCTTGTTCATTTGATGAATTACGAATATATCTTGCAATTCTCAATCGATTAGGTTTCAAATATATGATGTGTTGTTCCTAATTAATGATGCAAAATACAATTCATAGCGGAGAATTCGATATACAGCTGTAAACGTTTACATTGGCCCATAAAATACTTCAATATAATAATTACTTATCACTGTTCGAAATAGATCTATGCAGTAATTGATGATCAAGTTTTAAAAATACATCTTTTTATTTGATTGAATAAAAATAAATGATTCATCTTTTTTTTTAAAGCAAAACTAATTCAATCTAACATATTCCTTTTTTTATTATTTTGATACTTTATTCGACAAAAAACATTGAAAAATAAAAATGAATGTTTATTGATTCTGAACAAGAATTAAAATTTAAAAAAAGACGATCAAAACATATAGCAAACCATGACATAGATATAGAATAATTGCTCTAATACAAGTTTAAATCAGATTTAGTGCAATTTCTTCAGTGATTCAGAATTATTTTCTCTGTGTTTTTCAAGTGTTGTTGTTTCAGGATGCATTGTATTCTATGTAAATAGAAGAAAAATAATTTCGTGAATAGTACATCACGATCTTAGGATCTAGACAATATTTGTTCAAATAGAAGAACTGAAACTACTATTTTCTATATTACCAACACGATATTTATGCACTACAGTTTTAATCAGTTTTTTTTAAAACTCGAATAAACGAACGGACTTGAGTGATTTATTAGAATCGTGGATAATGGCATTTTGATTCAAATAGATTTTTCTGTGAGTAGTTTGAGAATCCAAATAGGTATAACAAGCCGAATTTATCATATGAAAAACATTGAAACTCAGCAAAACTGAATGATTAGCTCTATACATTCATTTCTTGATAGTTCATTCTTAATATGCGTAGAAAAACAGTGTGACAAATTGAACTAATTTAAGGATTAAACCTTGATTTGTTTCATTTTCGCCTTTTAAATATATTTTAGTTAATTAATTGAAAACTTTTTCTTACTTTCTGATTGTAATAAATCATAATCAGTTATGAATGGTCCAGTTGTAAATGAAATCCTTTGTCTATTGCTGAATAAATCATCTGTTCCGTAGAAATAATCAACGTTTTGAGTTATTGGTTCTTCAAGAACCATCGGTACTACAAAAAGAAAACAATCTAAATTGAATTTTTTTGTTTTTAAATACTTTTTCTTATTTTTCCTTGTTCAATATCGCTGAGAATATTTTGAAGCATTCGTGCATGAACTTTTGATGTTTTAAGACTTTTAACAGAAGATGCGTTCGTATTGAAATGAGCGAATTTCAAAATAATAGATTGATCTACATATGAATATTTCATTTAAATGAAATTAAAAAAAGTCAAACTAAGACCTGACGAAGCTCTTGTAAAAGAATTGTTCTGGAGTTTTGCTTGTTTATCAACTTGAGATTTTGAAGAAATTTTTATTCTAAGAAAATCATCCGATAGATTGCCGATATAGCAAACACGATATTGATTATGTGCTGTTCTCCATTGTCGTGCTTGAATGGTATGTTGCCTATTGAGTTGAACAAGAAAATCAATACGTAGGGAACAGAAAGGAGCTCTTCATACTTTTTTGAATAATTTTCATCGTTTGAAATTCGAACGATTGGTTCATGTTTGTTTGATAAACGTCGGAAGAAAATATTTGTCGTTATAGGACGACTATTTGTTGTTATTTCATGACCTGGATCTAACATTAAAAAAAAGTGTTAATGAATAAGAATAGATCAATATTCAAAAAAGAAAATTACAAGGTGGTGGATCATCGTTATAGCAATTCATAATTAAACGTAGTTATCAAAGTTTTCTTTATCCTTATGAGCCATTATTTATATTGAATATAACATAAATAGGTTCCTTTTAAAGTCTTATTTGGTGATTGTCGTTTTATCTTAACCAAAACAATGACATTTATTAACAAATTGTTACCTCTGGTTGCTTCAAAGTCGTTCTTACTTAATAAGAAGGCAAATAACAATGATTAATATGAATGATGCTGAATTTGTACGAATTATTTATGCATATTCTTATATTTTTGAAGGAAAAATATTTTTTTGTAATAACCTTGACTTTTTTCTTGCAAACATGTTTCATCACGTTTCAGTCAAAGACATTTAACAAAACTATTAACTTTCAGTTAATTTAACTAAAAGAATAAATCATTCTCAATTAATAGTACTATTTTGACATGAGCTAATGTATTCTTTGACCTTTGACTAAATATCAAAATAAAATGCTTGATAAAATCTGATCAATGATTAGATAGGTTTGGATCTTGTGTTTCAAAATCATCATTACTTCATTTGAAGAGTTTACACATACGTAATTACTTCGAATATATAAATAAATGATTTTCAAAACAATAAATATTCAAATCATACATTTTAATTTATTATTTTCAAAACACTTCCTAAAATAAAGGAAGCAGTCGATTTTCATCTTCGATGATTGGACTTTGATTCTCGTAGTTCGATTTTAAGGCAAAAGTTATCTTTTTAGTAACATTGTCGACTTTAAATATAGTATCACGCATAATTCATATTTCTTCTTCGTGTTGAAATTCCGATACATTTTCTAGATTTAATGCTGTATAAATTTTACATATTTTGAATGTGATCATCACTTTATATTTTTTTCCATTGTTAAGATCAAGAATATATTCTTCGGCAATCGGACGAGTTCGAGTTGTTGATATAAATGTTTGATTAAGTATTTTAATGCCTTTTTTAAATCAATTAAATTGATCTTCTGAATTAATAGTAATACTTCGATAACATATTCCTTCATAAGAAAATTTCTCATGTAATCGATCATTAAAATAAATTATTTGGACAAATTGTGATAGGTATTTTTTTTCTTGATAAAAGATAATTAGTTACATGATTATAAAAACCTGTCTCTGCAGTATAAGCTTGAATCAAACGAGTGCCATCGTTTTCTTCAGCAGCTCGACGAAAAAGTCGTTGAATAACATCAATTTTAGACATATTATTCAATTGCTGAATAATATTTTCACCTTGAAATATTCCATATTCTAAACAATTTCCTCTCTCTCTATATATATATATCTATTAGACGATCTTGAATAATATTTTCATTTCCATCAATGGTAACCCATATTCATCTTTCTCGTTCATAGAATATATCGCTTCCAAAACGTTTCGATATTTTAGGTCGCAAAAATAATTGTCGAAATTCTTCTGTATCAAAAATTTATTTATAACACGTCGAGTAAAACCTCGATCAAATAGTATTTTAACAATATTACTATATTTATAGTAAGAAGCAGCATGTAATGCAGTACTACCATTAGGCTCGATTCAATCGATATCTTCTAATGGTTTTTGATTTAGTAGATCAATAACCAAATATAAATCATCATTACAACAAGCAAGATAAAATTGACTTGTGATTTTATTTTGATGGGTTAGTTCTTCCAGGGATTATCTCAAAAAGAAGGAAGAGAGCTTTCGTTTGATAATACTTTTAAAACTTTTATCTGCCGGCGAAACTTCATTGTAGATTTAATGCTGATTTTATTTTGATTATGATTTCTTTCGTTTCTGATGGATTGGACAAAAAAAGCAAACGAAATTATATGACACATATTGTCAATAAGTTTTCAAAAGAAAAACTTCTTGTCGAGACATCATGATCACAGCTAAGTGTAAATAAAGTATGTATGCATAAACATAAGTAGTAATCATCTCATGAATACTATTGGTATAGTTCGATGAATTGTTGAGTGAGCTCAGTATCTTTTGAGCTATTTCTGTACAACAAGTTAAAAACTGAAAGATTTAGTAGATTCTATCGATGTAAGATACAATGATCTTTCAACTTTGGAAGATAATTACAATATATTAACGTCTACAGAGTTAAACTTGAGCAAGCTGCTGAAAAACAATTCTCACTGCAATTATTTACAAGATGAACTGCAACACAATATCTATATTGTATTCGAAAAGCGAAAAGAAAAAGTGTATGATTTACTAATAAATACATTAAAAAAGCAAAATAAACATATAGTTCAATAATTATGTCAGTATTTGATTATTGAGTTGGAGGTTGCATTCGGAATAATCTAAAAAAGAAAACATTTTTATGAATGCTACGCGAAATATTGAACCAGACAAAATATACAAGTAGAATGTAATTGAATATGCAACGGAACGAATGAGAACGATAATTGAATAAATTCAATTTTCAATGGCTACACGAAGAGAAGATTTTTCAAGATCTGATGTTAAACTAACATATAAACGTTGAACTCCAATTGGCAAATTCAGTAGAAGAAGCACCAATCGCTGAACAATAATATCAATACTAATTTAATTTATTGTTGGAGTATCTACGTTGAGAAATTTTCCAAAAACCAGAAACTTAAGAAAACGATTTCTAATCTCATAGAAATCAGTTTAATTTTTGGAGATCTATCAATATTATGAAAAATAAATTAAATGTTCTTAAAATAGTTTGGTTGCGAAAGTTTCTCTAGTGCTAAGTTAACATGTTTGCTCGGTCATAACACATAGTATATCACTTACTTTGAAAAAACGGAAATATATTTAAAATTGACCTGTAATAATAGAATTCTTCGAAGGTGTCGATCGTTTTTTCTCATTATTAGTTGCTTGTTCATTCGATTTGTTACGAAAGATGTCATTTTTGATTGTGTTAGATGAACCATACGTTTTCAAACATTTGCCTCATAGCAATAGAAAATTTTGCCAAATATAAGAATAGAAACAATCAATACTATACGTAAGAAGCGTCTAGTTGTTTGAACTGTACTAAATGATCGATGCGAGATCGAAGCACTACTAACTAAGAATCGATCGATACTAGCGTCAACAAAAGCCTAAGGTGCCACTGACCAACATACCATTCGCAAAAACAGGCGAACTTTACAAAGATGTTGATTTTGATTTGACCAGTTCATATTATAACTAAATAAAAAGAAAACTAAAAGAGTTCTATAAGAAATTCTTCTTTCGCTAGTTTATTATTCTTTTATTTATGATGCCAACAAAACTATCTGGCATTCTATGGCTGAGTGAGTTCAATTTACGAGAACTCCATGACTCTTTCTTGAAAGTCATCTGTTCGGTATTATCTGCATATCCTTCAAATACTCGTGTTACTAATCCTGACCATATGAAAACAGTACTAAATGTAGAAGACCACCAAAGATAAATTGAACATGGATTGTTACGAGTGGAGCTTTCGTTTAGTACATTAAGACAGAGTAGATTACCAGTAGTGTCAATTACAATCATTAGTAAAGCTCCATGACGATTTATTTGTGTTCTTATCAAATTAAGACAAAACAATTGAAGGATAATTAGCAGATATTTGTCTTTCGAGTATATCAAATAGAACTAAATGAGAACTAAAATCTTGAAGAAACAAGTGATAAGTTAAAATTAAATTATTATTTTAATGTTTAAAATGTCCTTTTTCAAATAAACATCGCTTGCCATCAAGCTATCATCTGTTTGAAGTGAGAAAACAAAATAAATCTTATATTTAGACACTTTATGTCTACTATACTTTTGCTCTACCAATATTCCTCATCTTAAACGTATCTGTTGTGTGTCTGAAACTCCTTTATAGATGATGACAGTCACATCAAAACTAATAGAACATGATATAAACGATTATAGAATTTTAAAAAACGTTGAACATCTACAATAAAAATAATCATAAATTAATCATACGTTGATAATCTCAGTGAATTAATTTATAGTTTTAATATTTCAACCAAACTGGTTTCGCTTTATTTTTAATCACGCAAGTATGCAAGTAGTAAATGCACCAAAACCTAATCTGTCATTGAGTATCATGAACTCTTATTAGAATCAATGAGAAAAGACTCGCATTAATTAATCTACTATACGTATATGTATATGATGAAACTCCATGGTAAAATTTTGTAATCCATCGGTTTAATTTAGCAAATTACACAATCCAGTATGAAGCTTTTAATAGTAAATACTAATAGAACAATAACACATTGATATGCAAACAATCGGAACGTTAACTATATATCCATAGTTGCGTTTTCATTTGTGCAAAATCTGTGTTGCCAACAAAAAGATTTCTTAGTTACAGAATCAAAATAATCAAAATAACTCAAAAATAAGAGTCTCTATCGCATAACTCTGTCTATAATATCTACTCGTCTAATTTCATTTATCAATGATTTGGTATCTTACTACAATAATGTCAATGACGATTCATAATTAAAATATACATAGTAAAACTTACGTGACAAAGCCTACAACGTAAAATAATTGATAATAGATAATACACAGATATGAGCAAAATAATAAAGTGGCAATGAAAAACGCATAAAAGTTCCAAAGAGGACACACTTAATACATAGCGTTTCTGAGTATTTTTTATAATGCTAACAAAACAGAAAATCTCATTTTCAAAATCACATAACAGCCATGCTGTAGCTTATTAAGGTGTGGTACGTCGTTTAGAATCAGATGTGTGCCAGCTTCTGAAGCTAGAGACTATGATGTTAATGACATGAAGCATTTTGCTGCGTGAGTCTTTAAATTAGACAAAGATGATCAATTCCACGTGGAATAGATAACATACAAGCCATTGAAATATAACAGTTAGTAGAATGCGAAAGATCAAATTTAATTATTGATTGTATCAATTTTGATAATTGATTCTCGCTTAAGAAATTTACAAAGAAAAAATTCATCGAATTATGTTTTACTCTGCATATTTTAATATTAATCTCAGCGTGTACATTGATTATTCACGTACAACTCTAGTTTACAACTATGCCAATATTGGAAAATGCGTACGTATAAATAGCCGACTATCGCCTAGTTTGGAAAACTGAAAAGCAAACATGAAGCCAACTAATAACTGATATTCACATCGACGTGTACACCTGCGAGAAAGTGTAAACTATCATTTGATATTGTTTTTCAGTTAGTTACTTGGAGAGATTCAATAATAAAAAGTGAAATAGTCACTAATTAAATTTGATTATTCTGATTGTTCTACGTGTTAAGTTTTACTGGCTTGCATGTGATGTCTTTCAAGTAGAATTTATCAATTTTGTCTTATTTAAAAGTCTGCAGGGTAATATCCTTACATGATAAGAATCAGTTTGTTCAGTTCCACAAACCGTTTTACATCCGATTCATTACGACGAGTCCCATTTGGATATTTTTCTTGGTCAGATCATTGGTTAGCAAGTTTCTATTTCACAATTCTTCTATTCTTCCTCTGTGGGAATTGTCTAAACCTAGAAGGATTAGTTATTTTGTAAAATATATGATTTAAAACTACGTTCTTCTCAAGTAACCCCATTCGTTCCACTCCGATAATAAGAATGAGAAAATCGTTTGGGATTAGACTTTTTGGAATAAATTATTTCAGTTTTAATCAATAGCAAATCTTTATTAGAGTCTTAACAATTAGATCAAAAAGTTAAAGACATGATAAAAATATTCAATCATATTGTATATATTGAACTTTGCATTTAAGTGACACGTACATTCATTTTAACAGATTGTGAATCAAAAAACGAAAACTATAGAATGATTTAATTTCGATGACGAAGAATAAAACCGAAAAGAGAAGGTAAAAATTTGGAATATATGTGATAATCAAAAAGATCCGAAAAAAGAAAAAAATATTTTTCAACCTTGGTGATCCATGATATCTTATAACGTATTCTTTATTCAAGAAAAATAATTAAAAATCAACATCGAATGTAATAATATGTTTTAAAGTAGCAAAAAATCGTTGCCTCGACGCCTGATATAAAACAAGTCAACAGAACGAAAAAGATATCTATGATTTTATTCAAGGCTTCACTTTTAACTGAGCTTAGAGATAGATACTATAATTTTCATATGTTTCGACTGTTTTTTGTTTTTTAAAAGCAAAATACGTGTTTGTGTTATAGTTTCTTAATCGACTAGAATAGATTCTACGAATATCAACTAGGCACAATTCGTTATTAATTACTGAATTGACGAGCAACAAATGTGTCTGGAAAATAAAATACTTATTTAAAATTTGACTATAAGGTTTTGTTAGCAAACTATTTTAAGTAAAATACCAAATTAAGATGATGATATTTCGCCATATACTACACACATTTCATCGTTTGCTAGAATGGTCAATACGCTTATTAACTGCTAAATGTACATTGAAAAAGAAGATTACGAATATATCAACAAGTTTCTGAATATTTACTATGAATAATTATTTCTTATTTCATGATTAATATCTTCAACATAGAGGAATTCTTGTTTTACTGTCATATTTTATGATTATAGATCATTCTAACATATTAGGTCAATCGAATCCCATGTCTTCACTACTTTACACATATGTGCATCATTCACAATCGATGCCATTTACTTGAACACTTGACATTTACACAAACTTCGAGAACTATTCAAAATTTATATGACTCATATTTGAGCTATTTTAAGTTTATTTGTATTCTAAAACTTGATTTTAATTTCTTATAATTCATTAGAAACAATTTTTTTCGTTCAGTGAAAGTCTAAACAAATATGACGAAATTATTTAGTTGAAAATTCAACTAAATTGAGCGAAAAGTTAGCACTCATGTATGTTTATTACCTATCTAGATTCAGCTTTGCTACTTGCGAAATAAATGTTTTCTGATAATTATATAATGATCTATATCTCTTAATTTACGATACTAACACTTTTTGTTTTGCTACCACTAGTAAATATTATTGATGTTATTGTTCAAAACTGATAGTAAACTAGATAACCATTGATAAAGTTCATGGTTCATTTGAAACAGATATATCGTTTTCGATGGTACCAGTATGAGATTCCTTAATGAATTTTCTTTGTTAACGTGATTTACTGAACAGTTCCTACAGATATTTCAGACTTACTAAAGTGACAATAGCAATGAAGATGGAATCCATCTGGAGTTTATTATTGTCTTTCGCTGAAAGAGTGATTATTCGTTTCATAAATCGTTATCATTTTTTCAAAACTCGGACTCTGTATATATAAATTCAATGTATCGAATTAATAATAGATTTTCGTAGGTAAATAGTAGTCGATATAAGAGAATACTGTGTTGAGGAGAAAGAGAAAAGAAGTGTTATAGATCAAACAGAAAAAAAAGTTCGTTGATAAAAATAATAAATGTGAATCGAGTGTGTACCATTTTTATCTACAATTATACTAAGAGTTACTTACATGCATAATATAAGTCATATTGTTATCATTATTTTGCTTCTATTAACAATTACGGCATATAGTCGTTTTTCGCCTTCAAAAGACAAAGGACATTCTGGTCGAGCATTATATGCAGGCCGTTGGGGACGTTGGTGTACAGAAGATTTCGAATGTGGTCATGGTTTCTGTCAAGCTTACATATGTCAATGCTATCGTGGATACATAACATGGAGTTTTATGGACGTTTGCAAGTATGAACAACGAACTAAAATAACAGCTTTTCTTGTTTCCTTTTTTATTGGTACATTTGGTGTCGATTGGTTTGTTTTATCAAGAGGTCAAGCTGGATACATTATTGCTGGTATTATTAAAATGATCATTTCTTTTGGATGTATTTTTGGATGGCCTGCAATTATTGTTGGTGTATCAAAAAAAAAGGCTAATATTATTTTGTTAGCTCAAGCGATTAATGTTACTCTTAATGTTACATCATTTATATGGTGGTTAACGGATTGGATTAGAATTTTAGCAGATGTGTTTTATGATGGACACGGAGCACCACTACAATCATGGAGATATAACTATGATGATAGAATTTCATATAGTGTATAAATTAAATATATATCTTTCCTTAATTCTCGCTCATATTGTCCTGAATTCATTTTTATAGTTCTACTTTTTTTACAGCAATGAAAAGAAAATAATAAGCTGCCATATCCATTAATATTGTATATTGAAAGAACAATTATGATTGAATCTGAACAGAAAAGTATTTAATAATCTTAACGAGAATAGCTGTCTCAGTCTATAACAATAATCGATATGAAAATGTTTTTTCTCATATTAAAAATAAATTTATTTTAAGAAAAGTTCTATTTTCTTCAACAAACAGTTAAATCTATCAACAAACTAAAAATTTTATTGTATTCCATCAAAAAAAAAGACGTTTAATTAGTTGCAAATAGTTAGTAAATATAAATGTAAAATCAAACGAAAAATGTCCATTTTAATGATAGAAACGGATCTTCGAGCATTTAGGAAGGATATGAGCGATTCCATAAACTCTATAATATTCATCAATTTGTCATATTTCTAAATAGAAAATATTTCGTATCGATTATCTAGATAATAATCTGATAGTTGCCGTCGAAGCAGACAGAAATTAAGTCTTACAAAATATGATAGTAAGTGAAACAATGAAAAACTAATCATTTGGAAACTATTTTATAATAAAACTAGAAATCTTCTGTGCATGGATATTTACGATATTATTGTAAAAAAGAAAATGCATCCATCTTACTTTCATTATTTATTTTTCCATAGAGCCAAGTTTGTGTTACTGCATTATTGACATTAGTAATAAGAAACCCTGTGAAAATAATTCAAAGTTTAATTGAATGTATCTACCAATAGTTTTCATGTGAAATTAGCCATCTGTTACTATTGACTTTGATTACCTAAGTATTGCTCGAAATTCGCAATGTAATACTTAATACGATGTTCCTTTGTACTTTAAATAGTTATCTAACACTGACCTTGAATAAAACTATCCCTATAAATACAAGAGAGATTCAACCTATCAATAACACAATATTTATCATGGTATTTTCAATCGTTGGCTTTTCACTTCTTTCACTTGTTAGTGTTTCGCTAGCAGCAAAAGAGTGTCCGAAAATTGTCACACAAAAAAGTTTTGATGTTACTAAAGTAAATCTATTGTTAATCATAAATTCAATTCATATTATTCTGTCTTATTTAGTATGTTGGTTTATGGTATGAGGCTTTTCGATCCGATATTATTTTTGAACTTGGATCTAGATGTGTCAATGCAACATATACGCCGAATGCTGATGGAACAGTAGGTGTTTGGAACCAAGCAGTAAATTGGCTAGATGATTATACAAGCATTCGCGGAACAGCTAAAGTGAAAAATGCTTCAGAACCAGCTGCATTTATTGTTACTTTTGATAATCCAAGTAAGTTTACTCCTTTGCTTTAATCCTCAATTTTTGTAGCTATTATTTTTTTTCTTAGTTCAAAAGGGTGACTACAATGTAATCACATCGAATTATGTGGATTATGCACTTGTCTATTCTTGCGAAAATATTCCAATAATTGATATAAAATTGGAATTTATCTGGTTTCTTTCGTACGCATAGAAATATACTAAATGTGAGCTTGATTAGATTATTTGTGATGTTTTTTAGACGAACAAAGACGATGTCTGACTCAGTTGTGAATGAACTCAAGAAGATTCTTACTGACATGGGTGTTGATGTTGGCACTCTGACACGAACGGCGCAGAACTGTTAAAAATCCAGTTTTTATGGAAATGTTCTTTCAAATTTTAATAAAGAAAAAGAATTAGTTTGATTCAGTTTAATTCAATGGTTTATTTGAATATGTAGAACTCAAAAAATCGAACGACAAATAATTAATAATAAATACAGTAGAACCTCCCATACTGAACACCTCTCTATAGTGGACACTTTTGAAAAGTCCGAAAGGTGTCCACTATAGAGAGGTTTTACTGTACAATTAGGGGTGGCACTTTAACTTTAAATTGACCGTAAAGTGCAGAATTTAAAGTTGTTTAAAGTCACGATTAAATGCTTCTTTTTGGCGTTTTACCTGTTGCAGAGAGTCTCATAAGTATGACTAAATACGTCAGTACAGTAAAAAGTATTAAAAAGAAGCGTTTAAAAGCGACTTTAAACTTTGAATTTTACGGTTAAAGTAAAATTAAAGTGCCACCCCTAGTTACAATTAATAAAATACAGTTGTGCATTAGCAAATAACTTTTATCTATTTAAAACATCTAGTCTTTGTTATTGTTGAATTGATCAATGAAGATCAGTGAGAAGAGGATAGACGTGATCCAATTATATATATGTATACAAGTTCAATTATTTTCAAGGCGGAAAAAGCGCGACTTCCGTACTTCGAAGTACGTAAAGTACGGAAGTTGCGCTTTTCCCCCCTTGATTGTTTCTCATATTTTCATAGTGAGTCATATTTATAAATGATCAGTATTGATTGCATACAACTGAATCTAACAGAAGGTTTAGACAGACACTTATGGACGATTGTAAAGACAATTTTGTTGTTTGTTTTTGATTGTAAATGCCTGATACATTTGAATTATTCAATACTCAACAGTATATGAATACATGAATTGAATTTTATACCGAAAATAATACTATTACTCTCGAAGAGTGTGTTATTAGTACCACATTGATAAAGAGTAAAGTCTATCGAAGCATGGTTCTGATCATAATTGAATAAAATAGTAGCAGTATTAATAAATTGGTGACAAGCTAAGAAGAGAAAAAAGGAAATTCACGGTCAGTTAAATTACATAGTTTGTCTAATATCGTTTTTGTCTCTTACAATACGAGATGAGAGAATGACTTCAAGAGAAATAATAACATGTTATTCGTTTCAATATAAGAACCTGAAAAAACACGAGAAACGCAGATGGTTACTAAAGTGATGCGTCGAAATGAATGGCAGCAAATATCAATAGAATAAAAATACTTCGACTTTATTTAAAGCTTTCTTTATTTTTAAATCGTATGATATTTAATTGTACGTTTGAAAATGAAAAGAAAACCACATTTTCGTCTTTTGACAATTTCAAATATAAATCAATTTTTTCATATTCGGTTGTCAACGTGTATTTTAAAAATAATTATTAACTTAATTTTGTAGAAATTCTTTTTATTATTCTGCAAGAAAGTCTTTGAATGACGAGACGTAAAAAATTTCGACATCAATGCTCGATAAAAATGCATTCATCACCTTTGTCCTCACGAACTAATTATCCAAAGTCATACTCACGAAGACAACGACGTCAAATACGACACCGTCGTCGACGGCAACAATATCCTATGAAAATTCTGAAACCTACGACGAGTATGACAACTCAGATAATTTCAGATGCATTCAATTTGTTACACATATCAACTGAATCGAATAGGAAGTCAGCTGAATTTATCGAAAGATATGAATTAACAAGACAGGAAACACTGAACATACCATTTGATCATCGGTCAATCCTATTTGTAAACGAGCATAGAAACAAGGAACTATTTCCAACAACAATAAAGGAACTTAATGATACTATACATGATGATGATGATCATTCGAGTTATGTATAAAAAAATCTCATGTCAGCTTCTTGACAGAATTCTTCATGACTAATCGAGCACAAAACAAAATATCTTCTACTCGAATAACTTTTGTTTTAATTGAGAAAAAGCTCGTTATTACTAGTATTTGATTTAAATATTCGACCGACTGCACATATATTCAACATTTGAGATTAGAAAAAAGATGACTGAGTAGCTCTATGTTAGGTAGAACTCTTTAAGAAATAATATGATACCCAATGGTTCATATAAAAATCAAATAATTTCTCTTGCTCGATTAGAATTGTAAGACAAGAAATTTGAAAAAGAAAATACAGGTTCTGCTTACCAATGTATTACTATTACTAAGATATAATAAATATATCTTGAGGATGCGGATGCAGCAGTGAGAATTGTCTATTTATTTATACACTTGGTGCCGATGCGTTTAATTACGTATATATGATGAACTTCGATGACAATGATATACGTATATCAGCACAGAACTATTCGATATGAGGTCACTTTTCGTCTTCGTATTCAATTTTCAAGACTGTTATGTTTAATCAATAGATAAATACAAATTAACGAGTTAAAGTAGTTTTAAATGAATTCAATTGAACGCTGTTTATCTTAGTGCAAGAAACATCGTTTAACACCGTCAAAAGAATATTTTCTTTCGGCATAAGTTATCTGACACGGATGCAACATTGATATTCACAATTATGGATTCACCAAATGATCACAGTACCGAAATTCAAGTATATTATGTAAAAATAGTACGTGATTTACACTATATAGAGAACTTGATATTTTGCTCGTTGACATACTGAACGACTAATGCTTTATTAAAGAGTTCAAATCTAAATAGTAAAATTATTATTCACAAGCACTTTTTAGGTGTACAAAGTCCAAATATGCATCTTATCTTATTTTATATATTTGATTAGCGTAGTCAACAAGCGACTGCATGTGTTTTAAAACTAACAGATAACAAATGTGTTTGTTTATTTTGATGAATCAAGATAAAATATATGTATAAAAGCTAGCGCAATATTAATAAAATGTCAGTATAATAGAAGCGAATCAGTAGCATCAATTATGCTTAATATTGTGTGTTTTAACTATATTCTGCATTTTTAATACTTTCTAGATCTACTGCACACATACGCAAAAATTTCAGCATGCATCTGTCTACAGTGTTATTTGCTATTTTTGTAGCGCTCTATTGCGCTAATGTTGTATCCGCAAGTGAATATGGCATCAGCTGTCAATGCTCATGCTGCTCTTTAAAGAAAAGAAACGCATGTACGCCAATCAATGCCGATGCCGTCAGAATAGATACTACTGAATGTGACAATACCAAGTGTATCAACGCTTGCAAAGCGCAGTATCCATCTTGTGAAACCGCTCGAGGTTTAATAATGCAGTCTACATGCAAATATTTGTAAGTAAAAGAAAACCAAATATTTAAATGTTGTTTTCTAAAGAAAAGCTAATAATTTAAATATCATATAGAGAAGCAGAAGCAACATCGGCACCCACAACAGTTACAACAACTTTAAGGTATTATAGAATATAATAACCTACACGCAATCTTATACTTTTTTTTTATTTATTCGATTTTCAGTACAACTACTACTACGGTAAGCTCAATTACCAGCACGGCTGCAAGTTCCAGCACTACTGGAAGTTCGAGCACTACTGGAAGCTCGAGCACTACTGGAAGCTCAAGCTCCACCACATCAGGAGGCTCAAGCTCCACCACATCAGGAGGCTCAAGTTCTACCACATCAGGAGGCTCAAGCTCTACCACATCAGGAGGCTCAAGCTCTACCACACCAGGAGGCTCAAGCTCTACCACATCAGGAAGCTCAAGCACCACCACTGACGGCAAAAGCAGTACGTCATCAAAAGAGAGCACTACACGAAAATCAGGTGCCAGCACCATACAATCTGTTTTTCAATTATCACATCTTCTTCTCTTATCTTTTGCACTAACATTTTTATGCTTGTAAAGATAGATCAAGAGCTACAAATTAAAATACTGAGTGCGCATTATTAATTATGACTTTACAGTTCAATAAAGTTAATATAAAAATTTTTAACTAGAGTTCATTGGTTTTAGTGGCACTCTTGAAAATATAATTACAACTAAGACTTAAGATTATTTATTCTCTTGCTTTCAGTTTCATTCAAAAAATGGCAAAAGAAATAGCAATTAAATAAACTTCTTCAAGTGAATATGTAGTTATAATGTGTATTTAACATTTGTTTCTATTGTTAAACCGTCAACCGAACTATAGGCTAGCAGTGGTGTCTAAATTCAGTGTGACTTTTGTCTTCCGATCACGATGGTGACAGTTTAGCCGATCGGCTAACATATCTTGGTTTAGCATTCATGCCATTTATATATGATATAAAAATTTAATGAAAATGAATCTCCTTTTTTTATCCACTCGTTTACGGAAAAAAGCAGCCCGTACATTCAATGAAATATTACGTGCATGAAGATAAAATTTTAACTCGCATCAAAAAGTAATCTTAATGTCATGAAGAGAAAATATAGACTAACTACTTTAAAAAGTCCAATTTTATAATTATTTTTAGAGACGTTGAAAACTTTGACTGATAAATTTCAATATTTTTTCCTACAACATAGTTTTTTCGAGCCAACATAGACAGCATTTTAATAATTCATGAATCATGTGTCGAACTAGATTCCAACATTGGATAAATGATATAAGCAAATATTATTGCAAATTATTGTTGTAATTACACAACAAAAGATAAAAGGCTCTGAGAAGATAAGAAAAATAGATGTGTAATTTTGTGTATACTATCTTGAGAGAGAAGAGTAGGATCTCAAATTTGATGCTAACGCAAAAATAAATGACTCAACATGAAAAAATACCGGACAGTGTAATCAAATAAATTTACTAAAACTTCCTATATAATTCTTTTGATATTGTTACAGTTTAAACTTGTTGATACAAATATATTTATTATCAAATGTCAGTATTCTTCTTATATGATGATAAATAGTGATGGCTGGACAACATCCCCCCAAAATCGAGAAACTGTTCCATTTACAGCAGAAATCGTTTACCCACCAAAAGTAAAAAAGAAACACTTCATCAGGCACACATTTCTTTCTAAGTAGAACTTCACCAAAAACAGAGAGACATAGATCATCTCCTTATCGACTGTCAGACAAAATTCAACAAGAAACCATTCTATTCCAGCAGAAATGGTATTATTTTAAGGAGAAATGGTTGAACCGGTTCTTCCGTTCCAAGGAGGAATTGATAAGATACTAGGAGATATTGGTGATTTTCTTTTTCGTCTTAGAGGGTGGTTTCTAGCAGAAACGATTCTATTCCAGGAGAAATGGTATTATTTTCAGCATTGTCAAAGATCTAAAAAATGTTCACTTTACGAAAAGTCCCATAGCTATATGTAGTACCTTACATACCTCGTGAAAAATCATATACATATACATATATAAGTAGCTAAACGAAAGGCAAAACATGAATAGACGACAAGCGGATCTTTCCTTCCTCCAGCGGACTTTTCTGTTCTGTAACGGAATTTTCCTTTCACTTCAACGAATTCATTCACATGCATATAGCAGAGATTTGGTGCAACACAAACCAAAACAATGAATTATATGTGCATTTTTATCAACATTTTTTAAAAAGAAAGTTCTTACTTATTTTTAATTTCAAAAAGATTAGACATTTTTCTTTTTCAACTTAATATTTCTTATTTTTATAAGAAAAAGATTACTTATCCTTATATCATAAAGATAAATTAAAGCAAATTTTATCCTTATTTGTTTAAATATAATGATTTTATTTATGTTTCATTTAAAACAATTAAGAATTTTTCTTTTTATAAATTCATATTTCTTATTTTTATATAAAAAGCTTATTTATCCTTATTTCATAAAGACAAATTAAAGCAAATCTCTATCCTTATGTTTTTAAATATCAAGATTTTATTTATCCTTATCTTATAATAAATGTGGAAACTTCGGATTTCATCCGAGAGTTATGTGTACTGCAAAAAGTGCATGCGACATATGAGTCATTCTAGAATCCCTGAACACGAAAATTATCATGAGAAACTAGGCAATTTGATTTCTGGATGCAGCTTTTGTGCATTTTGGACGTTTTTCAGGCGATGTTTCGTTAAAAAGCTACGATTTAGTTCAAAACTAATATCAGATTCGGAATCAGCGTTAAAAACTGAGTTGATTTATACGTGTTGTGGATAATTCTTAGAAAATTTTGTTTTTTGAAAAAAACATCCCTGTGCCCCTCCTCAGAGATGATTTGGTCAAAAATGACAATTTTTCTGATAACTCAGCCATTTCTTGACGGATCCTTCTCATCTTCGAACTCGACCGAGACATTCATGAGATTGAACTGTGTGGAAAATTTCATCACGATCTGACTCTCCTTTCGAAAGTTATTGTGCCTACGGCCGCCCGGATACTCTGACCGATTCTAGAGTGTACTCACTTTTTGAGTACACAAAAATATGACCACTGAATTCATATTGATTTCATTTATCTTTTTTTCCTCAACTAGCAACATTCTATTGCTATTTATTCATTAATGCGAACGAATATAACCATAAAGTAACACCCGTATACGAGAACGAAACTTCTGTGCGAACGACTAGCAAATTTAATTTCAATGAACACTTTCATTCAATACATCAAATCTTTCTCTTTTCTTTCCTCAACAAATGACTTTCTTTTTCTTTCCCAATGTGCTTTGAAGTATATATTCATACTATCCGATTCTTCATCGCTGAAAAATAGCAACTATGAAACACAAACATTACATAAAAAATTCAAACATGAATTGCTGTTACATTTACGAAAATTGCATATCAGTCTTAACTCGATTCTCATTCTTCTCTACATAAATTAATGAATGAGAATCATTCTAGCATCCACTCTGACGGACTTAACCAGAACATCTCAATTTTCTGCCGACTGAAAACATTTCACAATGCCAAAAACGATTTTAAAACGATCTGTCCCATACGTTGTTCCAAAATATTTATTCGTTAACTCGCCACTAATGAAAAGGTCCTTATGATTTAGAAAAGTCCCAAGATGAAGATGAAAAGTTCCATGAAAGAACCGCTGAAGAAAATGAAAGATCCGCCGTAAAATAGAAAGGTTCGCTTGAAATACTAGGAATATATCATCGGTGATAGAGAAAGGTCCTAGTTTTGCGCGATAAGTAATATCCTTCATAATGTCAGAGGACTTTTTGGAAAGTTGACATTTTCTGGATCTTTGCCAGCCCTCATTATTTTATAGAAAAATGGTTGAACCGGTTTTCCCCTTCCAAGGAGAAATTGATAAGATACGAGGAGATAATGATGATTTTCTTTTTCGTCTTAGAGGGAACTTTTGTAGGAGAAAGAATATTGTCGTTTCTCTTGAAAGATACGTTCAGGTTTATGTTTTTATCCAAAGGAATGTTGTAAATTCTTATGATACCGAATAATTTTGCACCCGTTATATTGTAATTGAGACCGACAACGATATAATAAACAGGATGCATTATCAGCATAGTAAAATATTGGTATCTAAATAATTCATTTTCTGAAGAACAACATATACATAGTGTAGAATGAGCCCATCAACAAGTGTAAAAGGTCTTCCCTTATGATAGTAGGATTAATGCAGTATGTTAGCGAAAATATCCAAACAATGGATTAAAAATGTTCACTTTTACCGAAGAAAAATATCTTGACCTCTACGTTGCAGCGTACACAATGATTGGAACATATTTAATTATATGGACTCTACCGAGTAGAACTATGGTTTAAACTTCATGCTAACAGGTTTTATTTCTCCTTGTGAAAAGTATTTCCCTTTATATTTTAACCATTGCTGCTTGTATTAAACGTTATCGTCATTGAACAAAAGCAACTGATATATGTATGCATATATATATATATATATATATATATGAATTCTGTTTTTCCATTTCTCCTTGCTGTGCATATTTTTTTGTGAGTGATCCATTTCTGCTTAAAGTGGAACAGTTTCCCGATCGATTGGTACCGTTGTTCACTGCTGTCACTTCATGAATTTGACTAGCAACATACATTCAACAAATTTTCTTAAAAATCTATAGAAGTTTTATATACAGTTCTCTCTATCTCTCTGCGTATACATATATAAGTGCATTTATGATGAGAGTGGCGAATCATCAGCTCTCTACTATATTTGTTTTAATCCTTTAGAACAATCAAAGCTGTCATTTCTTTTCTGAGAAAACATATCAAAGCCACATTGACAGATAATTTTATTATTGCTGGAAAAAGCTTATAACTTTTCGTATTGCTTTGCACATCGCCACCGTTAAATCAGTACCATGTGCTGTTTATTTAATGCTAACATCAAGTTTGAGCTTATTATTTTATTCAATAAATGTTAATTATCTAAGAAACATGGCGTTCTTTTTTTCTGAATAACAGTTGAACATGAAAAAATAATGTGAATAGGATATGCCATAGTCAATAAATTTTAAGAAAAAGCTATTTTTGAAAATGCTCCATATTCTTCAATCAGTCGTCTTCTAATGTGCAGGGTGTTGGATCGACCCTAAAAGTTGGCTCTGAGATACTAGTATCACCAGGTGCTCGTATTTCAAGAGCACCTATAACAAATGTAACTTTTGCATATTGATCATCAGGTAAGGCGACCTATTTAATGTAAAAAAAAGACAAATATAGTATGCGTCAATCTTTTTGAAATGATGATTTCACTTACTTTCAAATCATAAATCGTATCACATGCTGGAATCTTACGAATAGTTACTGGTTTCAAATTGAAATTAGATGGAATCCATAGAAATGCTTCGCGTACGCTTCTATCAATATTTGCCGAATATTAGAAACAAAATATAAAATATATAAAACAATTAAAGAAAAAAATGAACAATCAACTAAATATAATTTACTTTCTGAGAAAGGTCTTCATCTACTTTTTCCAATGGTCTGTAACGAAAATCCATCTCAATACAAATCTGTTAATATTGTTGAATGTTGATAGAAATCGCTGGTTAATATCTGAAAGACTAAAAACAAAATAGCTGATGTATATATTTATAATATTCTGTACAGACAGGTAAAAAAACAAGAGAAATCTATTCTTTTTCTTTCTACACACAATGAAAGTTTATTATTCATAAAATATCCCTTGACGATACAGTCATGCTATCATAATTACAATGGGATTCAGTATAACTAATGATATATATATGTTTCAATAAAGCGTCGATTATTGTAAAGCATAGGTCGGCCTACTTTTTTTTATTAATGTATTGATGATTAAACATTGCTAATGACTGTAATATTCTTTCCCATATCATTCATTTTGTCCGTAAAAACAACATTCCACATATTTCACATATATTTTTAATATGAATTTTTCAAGTTATAAATAGTCATTTTCATTTTGGCACAGATCTATGTGCTGTATTTATATTTTACAATAAGAAAAAACGAATCGCTAATATATTATTTGTTTTTATTGTTGAGAAAAAAAAGGAGTGAAGTTTATCGATGAGCTAGAAAATAATTGAAAACCATTAATTCTTGTTCGTTACTATCAACCCAACGTTTTTGCATATGAAATTTTGTTATTAGAAAGAGGCACAGTTATAATATGCAACGTAGTTATAACGATTTTAATTACAGTTAAATATGGACATCAACATATTATTCATGAACAGATATATTTTCATAAAAAGAAAAGAATATTGACGAGATAGTATAAAAATACTCAATCTTTTACTGATATGTCAATAAAAATTGCAGAATAATCAATTTTAACACTTGGTCGATTCAATAATGCATATTATTGTTCACGAACTACTGCAGGTAGATAATCCTTAGCACACTATGGAACTTAACCGAAGTGATGCTCTAGCAAAACGAGCCACATATTTCAAATAGAATTTGTCAAAACATTCATCAGGAAAGAGAAAATTTATATCGACGAGTATTATTGGGACACCCTTTGATTCCCTAGTTTATTGTAATTGTAAAATAGTTTTTTCATTAAATATCAGATCAATTATGTAAACTTACGAAATACTGAATAGAATGAAACTTATGATTGATAGCACATGAGCAACTGGTTTATAAATTGAAAATATTATTTCTGCTAAAGTAAACCGGCTGGTCTTGCTATTTATAACTTCTGTACAAGAAACTAAGCAATCATTTAGACTTTCTAATATTGAAGAAAACTTATTTTTCTATGAAATACTCTATTATAGTAAACTCAAAGTACAAAGAATCGACGTCAGCGCACACTATTCAAACCGATATTTTTTCTGTAAGAAGTCAATATTAAAAGAAACGTTTCATTCAAATTTCGGTTCTTAAAATGTGATAGATTGCAGCTTTTCTTTTATGGTAATATATAATAGCAGGCAGAAGTTTTAGACTCGACATTGATTCGGAAAAATACTGCATCCAAGTTTACAATGAAGTAGATTTAACTACAATTAGAACCTGAACGATATGAAAACTATTGTATATATGCTCTTTGTTGATCTTCTTCAAAGATTTGTTCTTCACGAACTAGCTTTGAATCAGCAAAGAGCATTCTGAGAATACATCGTTTGAAAAAACATAAAATTTTGAATTCTGTTCATTGATTTATTTTTGATGTAAAAACATTCGTTGAGTTTATTTACGGAACGTCTCATTAATAGTCCTACGATAAAAAGAAATATCTCTGTATTGTTTTATCAAATAGACTGATCGTTGTGGTTAGTAGTAAAAGTTCGTTGAGAGTTTTGATTTCGTACGAACAATTTCAGCAAATAATACTGTTACATATTGGTATTGGTATCATAAAAACTATTTTGTTTGTTATCCAATGAAACAGAAATATGCTTAGGATTTGATAGACAATGTTGATGTTATATAACCTAAGAGAATAATAAAAACGAGTTGAAATGAACTTTTATTAATAGTTATGGCTTCATTTAGAGAATTGAAACTTGAAAACTGCTTCGTTTCAACGCACGTATTTGTGCACTTGCAAATAAATAAATGATTCAAACATTTTAGACAGCAAAACCAGAAGTTTTTTTTTCCAAAATTCAGAATTTCTGATCTAAAATCTAATTTACAATTTGTTGAACTATTCTTCATGGAGGAAAAAAAGTGAAATGAATTTTTACTTCTAAAAAAAGAAATACATATCATTCAACAAAATCAATACGGAGATATTTCTTCTTTTCTTTTCCACAATACTATTTATCGAACATTTCATAGACAAATGAATGAATCTTTACTTGATTGCATAGATTGATGGACAAGTTGATATGAATCAGACAAATACGAACGGCGTCTAGAAGAATGACTTCAAAATTAAACAGTGAATTTTCATCAAATTGAAATATTACTACTTGAATAATATTATCACGGATTTTATTCGACTAAATAAATAATCTAGTAATTATGAATCATTTAAGCTGCAATATAGTGACTAGTCTCTATTGAAATAGAATAATATTTATCATAGATTTGATAAAATCATATTATAGGCAAGCGAGACTTTGACAACATTGCTTAGAATTGACTCTAGTTAGCCATTGCCTATGCTTTTATCATATGTTATGGTAGCTATAGTAAGTTTAATAATAAATGAAAGTAATGAAAGTATTTTTATTCTAATTCTAAATAACTTTTTATCCTCAACAGGTTTTAACTTCTTAATTACAGTAGTAACTGGATTATATGAATCCTTTGTCAGAATTATCTACTAAAAAAACTATTGTATATCATCGATACGACATAATAGACTAGTAGAATATTGTAATTTACTAATATAAATTCTTTTTTCCTTGCCTTTTTTTTTCTTTTTAGTTCGACGATTTCTTCCGAACTATTGCTGAAGATCAAATAATGCTCACTGAATTAGCTGTAAACATTCAAAAATAATATTTGTTATTCATCAATATTTATATTCATTTTCTTTTTCTTTTTATTTGGATAAGAATATTTAATACTCATTTCCCCTGTCTTTGAATAGAGGTAGTATAGCAACGATATATTACCATACGACAATCTTCGGTATAAAATAGATTACTTTATAATTGTACTCGATTCACATTACCTGTAAAGCAAAAAAGAATGAGTGGTGGCTGCTCTGATTTACGTAAACGTTGGGACAACCTTGTTGGCAAATCAAAAGAGGAAGCTATCCAAACGATCAAACAAGATGGTAAAAAAATGAACACAACCATACTTTAAATGTATAATTTTGTTTTCCTTCGTGTAAACTAGGTGAGAAAAATATTGAAGTAGTGGATGACAATACACCAGCAGCGTCTACAACTATCAAAAGTGGTGTTGTACGCATCATTTTAGATGAACATAAAAAGGTTAAATATCCACCACTTCGACAAGCCTGAAGAAAAACATTAATTTTATTATAATATTTATTTTCTCTAGCCCAGAGTACACTTAATCTTTTTTTCTTTCTAATAAAAAAAAGTCTAATAGGAAGCAAGAGCGCAAAAAAATGACAGAATTTTTAATTGACTTAATTATCATTCGATGGGTCGTGATCTATTCGGTATAAAGTTCAGTGCTCATTTAGCTGCTCATCTTACACCAGAATGGCGTTCTCAATATCTTCAATACGAAGCTATGGTTGCTATTCTTTACGCTGCTTTTGATCGTGCTCCATCTCATGCAGAAACAACTCGCTATCGGTATTTTTCACGCATTGATGAACGATTTTTTGCTTATTGTAATAAAGAACTTCTGAAAATGAATGCCTTTTTTGGTGAAAAATTATCTGAGAGTATTCGACGTTTTGAACAGCTTCGTACAGAATTAAACTATTTTAAAAAACCTCTAAGAATCAATGAATCTCAACAATCAATAGTTCAACGAAGACGACGACATCGAAAACTGCTTCGCTCAAATTATAACCATATTGATGATTTAAAATTAGCGTTTAGTGAACTTTATTTATTATTAATACTTTTACAAAATTATCAAACTTTAAATTATATGGGTTTTAAAAAAGTTTTAACTAAACATGATAAATTATTTCAAAAACTGAATGGAATAGAATGGTTAAAGATAAATATCGATTCATCACCATTTGTTAGTAATCAACAAGTATCAAGTTTAATTGATGAAGTTGAAACTGTAGTAACTGATCATTTAGAAAATGGAAATAGAAATACATTTTTCTAAAATAATTATTTCTAAATAATGTGCTCCAAAGGTCATGAACACGTTCTTCGATATATTTTTTCACATAGAATTGCCATCAGCTTATTTTAGGCTATCATAGTTAATTTAAAAAATTCTTCTAACTGTATATCAGGTATAATAATGTTATTGACACAAACAAGTCTTTATTAAAATCTGAAGTTTATCAATCTCACTGTATTTCATTCAGTTCAATGGTTATTTTGTTATATTCTTCGAGATTTGAACAAAATTTTTCATCAAATTCGGTATTGATTTCGGTAGTTTTTGGTAATGCTTCAAAACCTTGAGTTAATTTACTAAAATAATTTACACCTATAATCACTGTAGTTGTATTGGAATTTTCTGTCATCCAAGTAAGTGTTGCATAAGCTAAATTTTGAATATTACTTTTTAGTCATTGGTACCAAAATTTTCAACTATTTTTATAATAGGACTAAGATTTCTTTTTCATCAAGTTCTTGAATATTTTTATCAGACAGAACAAGTTCTCGAAAACATTTCGACATAGTTTCTTTTGAAACCAATCTATGACGATTGTCTTGAAAAAAAATCATTTATTAAAATATTTTCAAATCAGAAAATCTAATTTTAATGTTAATTCAATCGTTGTGTAATAAATGATACATGACTTATAGGGACGAGTCTATCTTAAAAATGAAATACAACACGCCGATGTTACCTGTAAAAAGGACAAAACTTAACGTTTTCTTGTATCGATATTTTTGAAATTAAACTTACATCGTAGCTTTTCAGCACACCAAACAACAAAATTAATTGTATCAGTTACCTTCTATGCTCGTAAAATTTCTTCTGTAGACTATGCAGATGTTAGCTAATAAAACTAGTCTAACATATATTATAAGTGCATTCAAATTCTCTAACACTTTCATCTATTATCACATTGAAATCAAGATAATAATAAAAACTACAATCAATATAATCAAGCTCAACTTTTAGTATACATCTCTAAATTACTTGATATAAATCAGTTGTTTATGTGATTGATCTCTCCGGTTAACTCCTGGGTCAGATAATGCTGCAATAGAAAAATATCTGTAGTTCTAAGTAAATCATTACGTTGGATACTCTCTTGTTGTAATGAGGATATGTTGAATTTAATATAAATTCAACTGAAATATCGTTATTCTACAAGATCTTAGAGATTTTTTAGTGTTAATTGACACAATGATAGGCTATTATCAGAATTTTTTTTCTTTCTACATTACTTATTTTCATATACTAAAATCATTGTGCATTTTTTGTCATTGCTATGATTAAATTATTTGATAATGCTGATTGAAAATACACAAAAAATAAATGAGAAAACATCGGATTCGCATCCGATTGTTACGTGTACTGCAAGAACTGAGTCGATTTATATATGTTTTGAATAATACTGAGAAAAAATTTTTTTTTGAAAAATTCCCTGTACCTCCTCCCTCAGGGATGGTCTAGTCAATAATGACAATTTTTTCGATAACTCAGCCATTTCTTCACAGATTGCTTTTATCTTCGAACTCGACTGAGATATTGATGAGATCATTCTGTGTACAAAATTTCATGACAATTGGATGAGGCTTTCAAAAGTTATCGTATTAACGACCGGACGGACACACTGACCGAATCTAGTGTACTCATTTTTTTGGAGTACACAAAAAAACAGTGTGATTGCAATAAGAAATCATGATAAGCAGCTGTCATCCTTGAAAATCTAATTGAAACCTTATCGATCTAGAGAAATGCTTCGGCAAAATGTTTCTACAGCATTTCTCTCCATCACATTCTTGATTAGGTCACACAATAAATATGACAATGTACAAAATAAAAGTACTTCCTTTCATCACAGGTCATTGACAAATACAATTTTCTGATTGGTGCGTTAAAATAAAATGTGCTTATGCTTACTTGCTTATGAATTGAATTTCAACAGACGCCCATATTATTATTCTATTTGCAATAATGAGTTCAAAGGAACCGATGTTCTCGTAGCTAGTTATGACTAAATATACGGTGAGCATATTTTTCGCGTCTGTCTCTGTCTCTAATCAACATTTACATGTAGTTGGAATCAATAAAAGTTAAATAATATTTTTTCTCAGTCGTACAATTTCGCTCATATTTTTACAATTAATAGATGTCCTTCTTTGCCCTTTTTTTTATCAACAATAGGTTGTGTAATATCATTCATGGATTGTATTAATGAATTATAACATCAAGAAAGAAAACGAAACATGTCGAGACTAAAATATAATATAATGAGATTTTTATCTATGTCTATCTATTTTGTTCTGTGAAAGTATTTTATTTGATTAACCCTCCTCGAACAAACATGTCTAAAATCCAAGTATCAGCTGATTTGTTGAAATACTAATGCACTGAGTCAACTGGGTCGATCGGTAGTAGATCACTATGTTCTTTTTTCTGATTTCGTGTATTTATTCAGTTTCAGTTTTGCTTTCTGATATCCAATGCAGTGTTTCTAATAGAAATCAGAAATAACATGTTTTTGTACATTTTGTTTACGTGAAAAACGTGTATCTTCACCCATTGATTTTATAAACAAAGCGTATCAAAGTGTAAATAAACGAAAAGAGTTCAGATAATCTAGAAAGATAATAAAAAAAATTCTTTTTTTTATCTGTTTCATAGAGAAAGAAAGTCACATGGATTATAAACAA